AAACTTAGGTTTGGTTTGGCGGACTGCGTGCTGCTGAGGCAGGGGCTTTTCAGGATGCTCATCAAGTCACCGGTGGCATCCGATGCTGGCTGGGAGCAGCAGGGACTGCAAACAGAACGAAGGGGAAAAGGGTGTGGGCCCAGTTTGAATATGAAACAACAAGCATGGGTTCAACCTGGGTGGCAATTCTGGTCAGCAAGTTCTTTAGCTTGCTTTGACTAAGTTCCGTGCCTAAGCCTCTCTCAATGCAGTGCTACGTCGAAGGTCTTGAACTGCAGTGAACAACTTCCTTGCACTCGCGAGAAGTCGGGGAGCGTACCCATTTCAGCCACACAACTACTTGGGATTTGGCAGGAATCAAATCGGTTTTGAAGTGGTGGCTTTTCACGACTCCCATATATTCACCAAGCCGGAGGTTCCCATTTTCAACGTATGCGTGGCAAGCTTGGCGCCAAATGGGAAACGTCGGCGCCCTTTTTTCTCACTGCCTGGAGCAGAGTGGGACACACGTGCCGCAGGAACAGCAGGAAACGGACAACTCCCCAAGTAAATTCAAGTTTTCTAGTTTCTCATACCCTCCCACCAATGAACATGGAACCTGTCAGGGGGGGGTTCGGGCCCTGTCAGGCTCCATGTTATTGAGTGGGAGGGTATTTACTAGGTCCTCCAGTAGAAAGGTTAGAATAAGGGTGCCTTTTTTCTGTAGTCTATTTTGGTGGGGGAACCCTCCCCCAAAAAAGAAGCGATATTAGGCACTACTGGGGGACCTAGTTTATCACCGGCTCTCTTGGACTCGTTGAGTTTAACGCGGCGGAATCACTCGAGAGTTGACGCCCCGCCTGCGGCGCTTGGAGTGCCTGTTCCCATCTCCATCCGCCGGCCGCTTGCGCTCGGCGAGCTCCATGGCTTCATGCCACGTCCACGGCTTCGCTTCGATGAACGGGGCCGGAAGCCTATCTGCATGAAACACGTAAGATTCGCCTGGATGCAACACGAATGCAATGCACAGGAAATTACTGAAATTCACCAATGCATGAGTGGTTGCACATGGACTGGTTATGCACAATAAACAAAACGTGATGCACATGTGTCTGTGATTATGTGCGAACTCCGTTGTTTGCTTTGGTTTGGTCAACGTGGGGGGGGCGGGCAAACATCATGCTGTATCCCAGCCCAAGTCTCCTTTCCAGTGGTCCTGCCTTGGCCGGCGGGGTTCTTGAGACCGAATCGCCCGGGAAACCCGATCCATGCGTTAGGAGTCAGCTCCCTTAGATGCTGGTGCCAGACAGGCCAAGCCTGGGATTTGCTTTTGGCTTGGCGGTCCCCCGATTTTGAGCGCCATTGAATGCTATGCTGAGCCGAGGGCAATGCAAACCTGAACGCGCACAAATGCCAAGCTCGAGCATGGACCAAATGGTGTCATTCTAAGGGGGACCCCCAAAAGGGTGACTTGCCTTTTGGTTGTCCCTGAAGAACACCAAAAACAAGTAGCCTCCAAAAGCAGACACACCCAAATCAGTCTCTCTTAAAACCCGGGACCCCTTTAGCATTCCTTCCCCGACGGGTCCATGCAACCAGGGAAACCGGCTCCCGAGAAAACTCGCAGACCCGCGAAAGGCCGCAATTGAATGCCCCCGCCCCAGAAGAAAGTCGGGTGTCAGGAATTAAATGGGTCAATCACCTTGTGCTGGTTTATGTAGCGGTCACTTACTTTGGATTCGCGGTTTGGGCCTTGGTGTCTGTCCCATCTGAGTCAGAGTCAAAACCCGGCATTAAAATGGTCTACCCAGAACCATGCTTTAGGAATGAAGGCGGCGAAGGTGCCCATTTCTGGTTGGGATTATCCCTAATTCATCCACCCGGGATTGGATTGTGGCTCAGGTGGGCATCCGGGGCTGAACATCCTCCCCGGTATCCCTGGCCGCACCCACCCCTGGCTCACCAGCTTTTCTATCTAATCAATGCGGCGAGGGAGATCCAGATGAAGACGCCCATCAAGTGGCTGACTTCCGCATATTTTTTCAACCACCACCAAAAAATCAAGTCCCAGCAATGATAGTGCCCATATAGCGCCCCTTTTGGAGGGGAAGGATTGCCTTATCCTAACCCGTAGTAGGACACCACTACAACACGGGAAACCGCAGAATCCATCTGGCATGAAAATCGGGGACTGACTTTGAACATAAAACGGTCTTGAAGGGGCCACTGGTCATGGAATAAAGCGAGTATATCCCATTAAACCCCCAGGATCCGCTTTGGGGGGTGGAGAAAACAATCTCAGACACCTGCGAAAACCGGGATCTAGAAGTATCTTTCTTCAAGTCACCCTGCGTGTGTGTGTGTGTGTGTGTGTGTGTGATCGTGTTTGTGATTGCGTTTGTGTTTGTGTTTGGGTTTGCGTGTGCGTGTGCGTGTGCGTGTGGGTGTGTGTGTGTGTGATCGTGTTTGTGTTTGTGTTTGTGTTTGTGTTTGTGTTTGGGTTTGCGTGTGCGTGTGGGTGTGTGTGTGTGTGTGGGTGTGCGTGTGTGCGCGTGTGCGTGTGCGTGGGCGTGGGCGTGGGCGTGCGCGTGTGCGCGTGTGCGCGTGCGTGTGCGTGTGCGTGTGTGTGTGTGTGTCAGTGTGCGTGTGTGTCAGTGAGTGTGTGTGATTGTGTGTGAGTGTGATTGTCTGCGATTGTGTGATTGTGTGCGATTGTGTGATTGTGTGCGATTGTGTGATTGTGTCATTGTGCGGTTGTGTGATTGTGGGATTGTGTGATTGTGTAATTGCGGGAGTGTGTGTTTGCGCGATTGTGTGATTGCATGACTGCGTGTTGTATACAGCTTGTGCAATGGTGCGCTTGTGGGATTGTGGGGTTGTGTAAGTGCATGCATGTGTATAATTGTGTGAGTGTATGACAGTGTGATTGTGTAAGTGTGGTTGTGGGCGTCGTTGTGTGTGTGTGTGTGGGTTGTGTGTGTGTGTGTGTTGGTGGTTGTTTGTGGGTGTATGATTGTGTGATTGTGTGAGTGTGACTGTGTGCGTGGTTCTGCGTGTGTCATTGTGTATATAGTTGTGTGTGTGTGTGTGATTGTGTGCCATTGCGTTTGTGGTTGTGTGTGTGTGTGCGCGTGCGCGGGTGTGTTTGTGTGTGTGCGTGTGCGTCTGCGTGTGCGTGTGTGCGTGCGTGTGCGTGTGCGTGTGCGTGTGTGTGTGTATATTGTTTGTGTGAGTGTGTGTGTGAGTGTGTGAATGTACCATTGTGTGATTGCGTGAGTGAGTGAGTGATTGTTTGTTTGTGCGCTTGTGTAATTGCGTGAATGCGTGATTGTATGAGTGTGCGGGTGATTGCAAGTGTGTGATTCTGCGCGTGTGGTTGTGCGTGCTTGGGTGTGTTATTGTGTGTGTGTGATTGCTAGGTTGCGTGTGATTGTGTGTGTGTGTGTGTGTGCGAGATTGTCTGTGTGTGTGAGTGTCTGTGTGTGGGTTCGTGTATGTGTGTGTGCGTTTAGTGGCCAAACCCCATGTCTAACTGGATTCGCAGAGTACCAGGGGACAAAGGGGGAAAGGCGCTTTGCAAGCGAATAAGTATTCAATTCGACGACCGCCTATTTCATGTTGGCTGGGCTGGTCAAAATGGAGGGTTGGCCAGTCCGATTCTCCATAATCCTCAAAAGGGAAGCCCACTACACAGGGGAAACAAAAAAACAAACATCCTTACGTCACTCCTTGGGTACCTTTGACCCCGACAACATTCTTCTGGTGCGGAGGCGGTGCAAAGCTAAGCCCGGCGTGGCACGGTTGTCCAACCTTTTTTCCACTGGGTGGCTTTGGTTCGGTGAGCCACGGGTTCTCCTTTGGTGTGGGCGAAAGCTTGTGCCTTGGCTTGGATTTTTCAAGGCTGGGAGTTGCCCGCAAGGTATAATTGAACACTGCCCATTGGAACCGCCCATTGTCAGCTTCGCAGCACTTGGTGGTTTGGAGCCTGATGGTTTTGCGGTTTAAAGGTGGTTTGCCATTCTACCCTGCACAAGAAGCAAGGGTTCAAACCCCTCAAACAAATCCAAACCACCCAGGGGTTGCCTGACATTGGGAGCAGCAGCCCACCATTCTGATACACCCAGTTTTCCCGCTCCGGGGCCCAAGGCCGAAGGAGTGAGGAACTCAGCCACCGCAGCAGTAGCGTGCCAGGAACTTCCAGCTGCTGGGCTCAGGCTTCCATATGCCTGCCGAAAGTACGTAACATTGCGGCATCGAGCATTTGCTCGGGCATGGCAAGGCCATGGAAGGCGATGTTACAATAGCAAGGTGTCCTCCGGATGCTATGCAAGATGGTGCTAAAGGCGGACGTGGAAGGAACAATAACCACTGCCCATACACCAGTTTCCATTGTCAGTCTCAAGTCTCAAGTTGTTTTGGGAGTGGGCGTATATTTTTGGAAATCCCAAGCGGCGTGTGGCGAAAAGCTATGAAAACCCCCAGTTGCCCGATCACCACGGCCAAATGAACCAGGACACCCCGTCTTGAGTGACCCTTATAAGCAGTTTTCAAGGAAGCAACCCCATCTGACTGACCCAACCCCGTCAAGATGCCACAAACCCTATTGTTCTCTCGCCCGAGTGTAAGTCTTCTCGCGCTCAAAAAACGGGCTTCAGTGGAAGCGAAGCAGCAAATGCGCGTTCCGGGCAAGCCAAGGTGTGGTATACACCCTTACCAGGAAAAGCACCTTTGGAGATGAGCCATAGGTGCAAAAAACAAGCAGGCTTTGCGAGAAAGCCCTGACAGCACATGACCCAACATTAGCTTCTCGGTCTGCAACCTGGTTTTCACTCGGTTGCTTTCTGCTCCCCTGCTAAAAGTTTAATATTTAGTGGTTTAATGGAAGACCCATTAGATGGCAAAAAGTTAAAGTCCTAACATCCAAGCAAAATGCACCAAAGCCCACATTGACATGAACTCAACTTAGCTGAGCTTTTCATGCACGCGCGACTCCACAAATGGGCGAGCCCTACCCCAACCGAACAAGTGAATCATGCAAGCCCCTCTCGGGATACAATGACATTTTGCCAGCGGAGTGATGGATTTGTCTCAAAAGTAGGGGAACTGCACCCTGAACAAAAGCACACACCTCATGCATAAAGAAACAGCCGTCCTTCCCAAATTTGGGTGGGCCCCAATGAAAACCGGTGATTTACCTTTGATGTCCCAAGATCAAAAACCAGATCAAGGGTCAAACAGTTAGATTGTAGTTGTCGGGGGGTTCTAAAATCAAAACTAAGTAAACAAAGGGAGGGTTGGCCATCCTAATCCACAATCCCTGTAGGGAAGCCGCTGCACACGGGGACACAGATATAAGATGCCCTGATGCTGCTTCATGCAAGTGACATCCTCAAAAATACCAACTCCTCCCTCATGTTTACTTTACGGGACCCCGTCAAACATGCAATCGTTTGGAGCTGACCCCAGGGTGGGTTTTTTGGTGTACCCATTTTTGGATTGGTCAAAGGGAACCCCGAAAAATCCACCCATGTTTTTTTTTTCAAAAGTAGGACAAACCCATGTACACGAAATGTTGGGGATCTGCCTGAGTTCCCCCTGCGGAGAAACCCACTTAGAAGAAACTGCGGGATTTCCCTGGGATTACTTGACGGGCTTATGTCGTGGCTTCGCCTCTGACTCCCACGGACCGCCCCGAAGCTTCCATTTGATTAAGACCCCTGGAAAAAAACAAAATATGTCCAGTGGTGATAGGTTCCCTTTAAAACCACCAGGGGAAAGTAACTATTTTTTAATATGTTTATTTGATTTTACTCTTTTTAAACCAAGAAAGACAACTTGAGCAAATTGGAAGGAAGCGGTGGCCGGCCCCAACTGCCCCGACTGCCGCGCCGTGGGCTTGGAGGAAAGCGGCGCAGTCCGCGAAGCAGTCGGCCACGGCCTGGCGGACCTGGTCGCCGTCCCCGGCCTTCCAGCCGTCCTGGCGAATCGGATCCCTCGAGGGGCTCGCCGTTTTTCCCGCCCATCACCCCAAAAGGAGACTCAAGTGAAATCGGGCGAGACCACCAGAAAGGAAGGGCGCACCTGTTCTGCGGCTGGTCTGTTTTTGAAGGTGCATGGCGTTGCAGCGTTGCAGGGGCAGATCGAATGGGTCTCAAAAGGAGACCCCTAAAATTGGCCTTTGAAAAGAGACTCAAGTTGGATTTGGACGACACGGTGATGCTTAAAATAAACTTGGTGGTGCGATGGGTGGGGAATGTGGGAATGAACATAAGGATTCCCTTAAAGGAAGTCACAAGAGATGATTTATAGGGGTAATTTCCGCATTCCCTACTGAGGACCAGCAAGAAACAGGTTCCAGGGACTTGTTCAACCAGCCGCAAAGAAATTTGACATTTTCTTGTACAGTCATAACATGAACACATATTCTCTTTCAAATGGAGGAACTGGTTCTAGGGATCCAGGAGCCGCAGCATATTCTTCCATTTGTGTTTTTGCCCCCCTGGAAGTGAGGATTCATTTCCAGTGATAGATTTCCCCTTTACAACCAACAAGGGGAACATAGAAACAAATTCTTAAGCAAATGGAAGAACAGGTTCTAGGGATCCTGGAGCCGCAGCATGATTTAGGAGTTGTTCAACCACCTGCTGCCAAGAAATCCAGCATTTTTAAGACGCATCCCTGTAGAACAGGCATATGAAACAGGAGAGCCGCGAACCAGGTTCCGATCGCGCCGTAGCCCGCTGCCCCCGAGGATATATGGGATCTTTGGGTTTCACGGGGGGGGGGGGGGGGGCAGAAACACTTAGCAGGGAATGGACATCGCCCAACTCCAAATCTGACCCCAAAGCCAGGTCTCGGGCCCCCGCGTCTTTTAAAGAGCACGGCCAGGATGTCAAACGTGAGCGCTGGCTTTCCAAAGGGCGGTCAGGACAGGACCCAAAAGGGGCCCAGCCCATTTTGGCGAACTGCACATGTGTCTGTGCGTGTGTGTCAGAATTAGGGACTACTGCCTCTATCCACGTGCCATTCTCGGAAGTACCCCTTCACAAAACGGTGGTTTAAAGGGAAACTGCCACCAAGGGTAGGTTTGAGAAACCCTCAAAACGTTCTCATTACTAGCTTCTTCCTTTGGCAAACCACCGACTAAGTCCTTGATGGCGCCCCGAGCGAAGAAGCCGTGCCTCACCTGGCAACAGCGCCCATAGCCCCAAGCCACAGGGAGACCGCAGGTTGACTGCAATTCTTGACATTGGCGCAGAACCGAAAGCATTTCCTTTTGATTCCCAGTTTGGGGGTCCATGTTGGCCGAGGGGCGGTCAAAGGTGAGAAGGGCATTGAGGTCCCTGGTTCGTGTGTCGCCTGCCTTTTTCGAGCCAAGCCCTATGCAGCGGGGGGGGGGGGGGGGGAAGTGGCCGAGCGAAACCCTGCGAGGTGCCAAGACTGAGCCTATGCCGAAGTCCGGGAGTTGTACCTATGGCATGTTCTCAGCAGGCAGCAAGCGACATCTCCGGCATTCGTCCAAAACCTGAAGCTCATGGATTCCAAGCCATGGACCTGAACCCCTTGTAGCAGGTAACGCCTTGACATGTTCATCCAGCAACAGCGTGGCCTGATGCATGCGGATCACTTTCGAAAATCCCCCGCAGTGCACCCAATCTGACCGATTCAATCGCTCACTGTGCCCAAACGCAAGGGAACCTCCTTTAATCAGTTTCCTTGCTGATTGCCAAATAGCGAGTCGAGGCTGTCTCAGATCGCACCCAATAGCCCCGGTCTAGCTGATTGCACGTACTTGCGCATTGAACCTCGGAATGGAATGGTCGTCTTTTTTCAGGTGACCGCAACATGGGTCGGCTTTCTTGAGGTTGCCGTTGGAATTCCAACCAGAAAGGGGCTCCCCAAAACCCACACAACGAATATCCTGTATCCTTACACGAGGCAAAGGTTGGAAGCCAAAGGGGCGAAAGCTCGATTTAGAAGTAAGTGAGCATGTCTCGCGGCGTAAAGAGGCAACCACGGGAAAGAGCAGGATGGCTTGGTCTTCTTCTACGATGTCCATGGTTGTCAGCCCAAAGCTAAGCTTGGGATAAATAAATACATATAGCTATATACTAATAAACCATTGTATACAAGTAACACCCTTAAACGGGTTTTGTTCCCACATATCGGATCCCTTACAACGTCGTAACGGGATGCCCTCAAAGAACCTCGCGGTAGCGCTTCGTGAGGTTCTTTCCCGGCAACTTCTCCTAGAGCGATCCAAAACAAAGCGAAAGGCGTCCCAGGAACCCTTTGGGCGTTGGATTTTGTTGCACCCCCCGAAATGGCTTCGGCTTGCTTATGGGAGTTTCCCTACACGCAAAAAAAAAAACTCGAGAAATCCACCCAATGGAGTGGGGAAACCACTAAACAAGAAGGACAAAGAAAAGGTGCCACTGAACAACTGGGAGAACACGAGTTCAATGGAAAGCCCAGCAGATTTCCCAAAAGTTAAAGTCTAAATCTTCAACTAAATGGTGATCAAGGGAGGGTTCCTTTGGCTCTTGGAGACAAACCTTGAATCACATGTTGCGGGCCATGCGCCAAGCCCTCAGCGAAATGGCCGGAAACCTCAAATGATTGGCCCACAACAGTTGCGAGATTGTGTTGCTTGACACTTAGTCCCAACAAAGTACAGTATGTCCAGTCCAGAAACGCACGGACAAAGTCTCAGCACTTTCTGCTCAGACTGCCTTTCCTTCGGTATCCTCAAGCACATGCTCGCGAGTACTGAAGCGCCTGTCTTTTCGGGGTACGTCAAGCCACTATTCGATCTATTTGTTTAACAGTTGCTTTTTTCAATGGGCACTGGGTGCAAGCAAGAAGGCAGCTTCAGTGAGAACAAACTGCAACAAAAGACGATGAGCACCGATCTCCCTAAGTAAAACCAGATTGCATCAGGGGCAGCTCCACAACAAGCACATGGTTCAACATTTTTCCTGGCAAGATTGAACACCACTTGAAAGAGCTGCGCCAACAACACCTGTCAACCTCGCCAAAAACACCTGCCACATGCCCAGGCTGTCCTCAGATCCGCCGCTAAAAGATTAACTTTCAGTGGGTCAAATGGAAATCCCCACTAAACACTACAAAGCTAAAACGCTAAGGGGATGGCTGGGAACCAGCAAGATCCCTCCAAAATGGTGGTGCTCCTTTTAGTTTCCCTTTAAGACCAACTAAAAAAGGAACCAAATGGCTGGGAACCACCAAGATGTTTATTGCCGGAACACGGCGTCCTCCAGCTTTCGGAACAGCTCCCCCTCCGCGTCGTAGATCGCCGGGTCGGCGCCCACGCCGCCGTCCACGCTGGGGTCGCCGGCGGGGAAGAAGGCCCAGGGGCAGGCCACTTGCCTCGGCTGCCAAAATCAACTAACTTTTGGTGGGTTAAATGGAAACCCAACCATTAAACCAACTACAAAAGTCGTAACAGCTAAGGGGATGGCTGGGAGCCACCAAGATTTACTCCAAATGGGAGAATGTTTGGAGGGATCCTTCGGATGTTTGCTCCGGAAGGGGGGCCCATTCTGTTCAAAGGCAGGATTGATGGGGTGTAATGGGGTGGGTTTAGGCTCATCTCACTTGCCAAGGAGAATCGACTGGATCTGACCGAGTTCTGTTTTGGTTTGCTGCCTCCATTTTGAACGCAAGTGTGATTAGCTGGCCATGGGTATGTGTGGAGGAGCAGGAGTCAGCAGACCACAAGCAGCCAGGAGGCGCAGCCAACAGAAGGGCATCACCACCCGCCACAGACTCAAGGTGAACGGCTGGATGTGGGCTAATGCCACACACTACCTTGCACGCTCGAGCGGCCAGGAAGTGATCTTCGCTTCAAGGTCCCTGAATCACAGCTCGCACCGCCCCTTTGCGAGACATCTGGAGTTTCATATCTTGGAGCAGAGAAGTCCACCTAGGTACCCGAAAGCAAAACCTTGCGCCGAGATCCGGCTGTGGCTCAAGAAATGGTCCCCAAATGGCACCTTGGTACATGGAACGTAACCCTAGTTGCTTAACTTTGAGCCACACCCATCCCTCAGGAACTTCGCTTTAACCCCGGAACTTCCGCGCAGACACTTCCGCGGAACGAACGCAGCCTGGTCGGGCCGCGCTTTGGAGAGGTGGAAGCCCAGCCAGGCGCCATAGCACACCCCCAGCACCCCAAACTTCACCACGCCTAGCCGAAGCGAACTCAATTCGCAGACCTGCCCAGGGGCTGGAAGAACGGGAGTCATCTGACATGTCCGCCTCTCGAAACAAAGAAGCGAGCAAGGCATTGGTTGGCGTTGGTGGGGAGTTTTGCGGGTTGAGAAGCACCTCACTGCGTATCCCTCTAACGTGATTACAGTGGAGGGGAGGGGGGGGGTTGGGGGGCGCGCAGATTTGGCTCTAAGGCGAAAACGAAGGCTTGGATTGCTGCCACGGCCGTCGCGAACCCGCGACGGCCAAGACTACCCTTCAGAACAGCACCACCACATCCACATTTGCGATACCTGGGTTGAACCGGGGCTTGTTGCAAAAGAACATCGGGGGCTCTCAGAGCTGCACTTCGTTTTGGGCCACAGGGCCCAGGGCCCAGAACCAGAACTGGGGGGGGGGGGCGGGCACGTTCCCATTTTAGTGGTTGGATTCATTCCTTTGGAGGCATCAGGCCAAAGCAAAATGACTTAAACAACTAATATATAAAACCACTTCAATCAGGAATTCATCAATTAAGCAAACTGCCAACTAAGTCAAGCAATATGTAACGCCCCAGCATAACACAGCTTTGCAACGTATTAAATGGGAGTTGGCTTGGAATTGAAAGCTGCTACCCAGGTTCAAGCGTATTTGGCGCCCGGCAGGGCTTCAAACAAGAGCTTTTGCTCGCACTTTACTCAAGATTCAAGCAACTAGATTGTCAGGACTCCGTGTTATGTTTTTTGCTATGTGTTTCTTTCTTCTTCTTTTTCTTCTTTTGGCGGGAGGGGGGCAAATTTGTGATACTACTCCCCCTCCCCAAACCCACCAAAAATACATGTGTCCATGTTTTGAGATTCAAGATTGCCCCGAAATATTTCTTCAGGATCTTGAATATTGAGACACATGACCTTCAAAGCCGATTGAGGTAATTAATACTCAAGCTTCAGATTCTTGAATCTTTCATCCACAAGTAGAAATCAAAGTCTTGCATCTTGAACCCCAGCCACTTCTAGAAAGCAACATGCGCTTTGGCAGCTCGAGCTCAAAAGAGCAGCACGCTCAGTACCCTTGTGGCAGCTTCAACAGCTCTGTTATTGTTTTTCCCCTTTTCGTTTCGTCGAATAAGTACAGTACTTTATTCCTGTGTAATTTATTGTTGCAATTAAAAAAATAAATCCAATATGAATCTAATTGCACTCTAAATCAACCCTATCACAATTTGCATTTGGAAAGCAAATCCTCAAAGAGTAAAATCTGTTGCGCTGAGATGTGGCCATGAGGCCAAGTTTTTACGAACCGCCTTTAAGCCTATTGGGCCAAGAGCATTCTGGGCTACAGACCCGAGGGACCGCTAGTTGAGGCTGTCGCTATGGAAGTTGAGGCAAAGCCATTCAAAGAGCAGGCTTGTTTCTGGCTAAGATTGGCTAAGGCTTCGTTGCCACTGGACCAGCCGGGCGTGCAGGCGCACGGCGCGTGGCACAGCACGAAACGAATGGACCTCCGCATTGCCACCAAAGGGGGGACCCGGTAACTTGATCAACTCTTCAGACCTACTATTTTGTGTCAGGTGCTTTCTATCCTTCGGGGCTGCGACGCCTTGCAGAGTTTCTGCAGAGAAAGCCTTGTGGGCTTGAGCTCGACCTATTCTGACTTTTGCGCCGCCAGATTCCCAACTAATGCTCGCTCAAGGTCTTGTGTGGGCATAAGGAGGCGTTCATCGCAGATGCGGCATGCCAAGCGCCTGGTGTTTATGTGAACCATGTGCTGTTTACTGGTGTAGGCACCGTCCAGGTGTTTCTCCGGCCTGGCTTTATGAAAATCATGTGTCGCGCGTGGACATGAAATATTTCTTGCCTTGCCCTTTCCACGCTTCAGGCGGTCTTAACGCGGATACTGCGTGAATCAGGTATGTCAGCCTAGTTGTGCAACGGGTCTGTGCTGTGCAAAATGCAACTGAGAAAAACACGGCCGATTTGCAAGTGCGCTGCGACGACCTGCTACTGCACCGCTAGGGGTATCGCGCAGCTCGCCGTGCCCCCACTTCACCTCTCATGTAGGTGAGTGTGTGGCTCGCTTGGGGCTCAAGAATCCAGAATCAAGCATGCATTTTTCTGTTATTGAGGGTACCATTTTCAGCTTGGCTGAAACGCGGGGAAGCCACAACCTCCATTTGCTTCACCCCCCCTGGAGAAAATTAATAAAAAAAAACATATTTCCAGTAGTGATCGATTCCCTTTAAAGCCAACAGGGGAAACTAAAAAACTATCACACATATCCTTAACCAAATTTCAAATGGAAGACCAGGACCGCCCGGAAGCCGCGCCTGCCGCCTTCATGGCATCCACCACCTTCAGCACCATGGGCAGGGTCTTCCTCGGCCATGGGCCCGGCCGACCCGGCGGAGACTGTTTTTGGCGGAGCGGCCGGGATCTTTTTTTTTGGGGGGGGGGCTCGCCGGTGTTTTGCGGTGAGCCCGGGGTTTTTTAAAGCAAGGCTGCATAGAATTCCCCCCCCTTAAGCATCACACCAGGGGTAAAACAAGCACACTGTGGTTTGGGCGATGGTATGGAGTAGTGCGCCGTACTCGGACGGTGTAAGACCGAAGCCGGACCAAAGTTGGGGAGGAGCAGTTCCCTTCGGGTACCACCGGGACCGCTCAAGCCGTGTGGAAACCTCAAAATCGTCCAGTGATAAAGCACGGAGGTTTCCATGGGTCACCTACACGGAGTTGAACAGCTCGCCACCAAAGAAATGAGGCTCAGGTGTACAGCAGGAGACCGAAACTGCACTTTCTGACAACCAGCATGAAGCTAAACCACACTCAAAGTGACTGAGCCATCAGCAACACTTAGTAGCCTGACCTGACCTCCCGGCTTGCCATGAACAAGGTTACCAGCTACAGGCCAACAAATGAGACCGAGACTGAGCTTCTCTGGATTCCAGCAGCCTTGGAAATACGCGGGCGCATACTCGGACCTCCTCAGACAGAGGTTGGCGTCAGAAGTTGCGTATGGGGTATATGGGGGGTAACAAGCTTGGGCAGGCTGGCTTACAGTGCCTGAGGGCGGGCTTTGGAGGAAACGTTCCGCGTTGGTTCCCCATGTTTTCGTTTTTGGAAAGCCCCCCAACCGATGCAAAATGAGCACTTCACGGCCAGCTTTTCGCAGATGCCCTGCGGCTTCCCGTGAAAGCCCGGGGTTTGGGGGTCTCAAGATTTTGCAGTTCCCGGCATAGGAAAGATAACTCCCAAGAACTAGCGATCCCATAACTGGCAGGCGCACCCCCACTACCCTCCCTAGGAAACAAAGCCTTGCCATAGCCTGGAGCAGGAGAAAGCCATATCAAAGGCTCCTAGAGGTGCCTCCCAGAATACCTGCGTAGGATTGTGCCAAGGTTCTTGGCTTTGTCTCACGAAGGTCCACAGCTCACTCCCCCTTGAATGTCCCCACCCCCCCCCAAAAAAAAACCGCCCCATCCGCCAACGCTGGCAAGCGCTGAGTGCTGTTTGAGGTTCACCATGCTTGCATTTCATGGAGCGCCCAGCAACAAAAAGGGTGTTCAAACGGTGGTACTGACAAACTACGAAACCCTTGTTAAAGCCAAGTCCTTTTCATTGCTTGCCTTCGAGAAGCAAATAGGGCTGTGCCCCCATAACTGTGTATTTCCGCCGGATTGCCAAGGTAATCAGCTGGGTCAAAAACATCCAAGGCCTTATCGTGGCTATCACCTTGAAGGGTGCAACTTCGCTGTTTGTTAAACTCGCTTGCCTCTCATGTGTGCGCGTGTGTGTGTGTGTGAGCAGGGCTGTATGCACGTATGTGTGCATGTATGTATGTATGTATGTATGTATGTATGTATGTATGTATGTATGTATGTATGTATGTATGTATGTATGTATGTATGTATGTATGTATGTATGTATGAATTTATGTATGTATGTATGCATGCATACATGCATACATGTATGTATGTATGTATGTATGTATATCTGTATGTATGTATGTATGTATGCATGCATGCATGCATGTAGGTATGTATGTATCTATGTACGCATGCATGTGTACATGTATGTAGGTCTGCATGTATGTATGCATGTCGGTTGGTCGGTCCGTCCGTCGCTCTGTCGCTCTGCCTGTAGGTATGTATGTGTGTGTGTGCGTATGAATGTATGTATGTACGTATGTATGTAGGTATGTATGTATGCAAGCATGCAAGCAAGCAAGCAAGCAAGCAAGCAAGCAAGCAAGCATGTATGCATGTATGCATGCAGGCATGTATGTATGTATGTATGTATGTATGTATGTATGTGTGTCTGTGTGTCTGTGTGTCTGCGTGTATGTGTGTATGTGTGTATGTGTATGTGTATGTATGTGTGTGTATGTGTATGTTTGTATGTAGGAAGGTAGGTAGGTAGGTAGGTAGGTATGTATGTGTATGTGCGTACGTACGTACGTACGTACGTATGTATGTATGTATGTCTGTATGTGTGTGTGTCTGTCTTTCTGTATGTGAGTATGTGTGTATGTGTGTATGTGTGTATGTGTGTGTGTGTGTCTGTCTGTCTGTCTGTCCGTCCGTCCGTCCGTCTGTCTGTCTGTGTGTCTGTTTTTCTGTATGTGTGTATGTGTGTATGTGTGTGTGTGTATGTCTGTCTGTCTGTATGTATGTAGGAAAGTAGGTAGGTAGGTAGGTATGCATGTCTGTATGTATGTACGTACGTACGTACGTACGTACGTCTGTCTGTCTGTCTGTCTGTCTGTCTGTCTGTCTGTCTGTATGTCTGTATGTGTGTATGTGTGTATGTGTGTATGTGTGTATGTGTGTATGTGTGTATGTGTGTATGTATGTATGTATGTATGTATGTATGTATGAATGTATGCAATCATGTATGTATGTGAGTGGGTGCATGTATGTATGTATGCATTCAATCCTGCGTGAAAATGTGTGTGCGTGTGTGTGTGTGCGTACGTGCCTGCGTGCGTGCGTGAGGAGGAGGAGGGGCGTCTGGGACGGTGGGGGCGCGACTCACCCGCAAAGCAAGTGTAAAGTCCAAAGAAACTTGCGGGGTTGCAAGCTCTTCGCAGCCCCAAAGGAGCGAAAGGAGGCAACAAGCAGAAAGGACGCCTAAAAGAGTTCAGAAGTCCAGGTCGTGTTCCCAACTACTTGGCACCCTTCCCTTTAACCATACACATCGCCCGTTGGTCCGTTGGCTCCTGGTGAGCAAGTCGAAGTCCGGGGGCAGGCCATCATCGTCGGTGCCCCCTTGGTAGGGCTCCAAGACTTTGGGCACCCACCTTAGCCATGGGACCATCAAGAGCTCGGATGAAGTTTGAGAAGCGCTTGGCCCATGGGTAAAACGCGAATGATCAATGAAGAAACCTGGCGACACACACTGCTGCCACGCCTTGTCCTGAAGGGGCCTTGAGCTGAACTGGCCTTGGCGCCCCTTGCAGGCGACTTCTGGCCTTCTGTGTAGCAAAGCCGTAGGATAAGACTTGGCGGTCAAACTTTTAGTCGGACATTGTTGTCATAAACACATTTCAACTCCCAAAGTCTAAAAGTCCAGGGTATGACTGGAAACCGCCACACGGACACCCACTGGAAACCGCCAAAACGTGACCACGTCGACCCAGCCACACGGACAGCCCACCCCGCTGGGCGAACTCATCCGCGAGCGCCCGGGTGCGTCCGCCGTTCCAGCCCCAAACGTCCGGCAGGAAGAGCAGACCCAGGCTGCTGCGGCCGACTGCGTAATATCCTTGGCACTGTGCAAGTGCCGGGGGGTGGGGCCGGGGGTGCGAAACCCTGGAATGATTTGATTCCCTTGTAAATACCAACAAACAATGGCTTCCCCCATGGTTTCAAAGTGGTGCAGGATTTCGTCCATCCACAGTACCACAGGGGGGAGGGGGGTGGGGCTTTCCTTGAACTGCACCTCTTGTCACCCCGTCCCCAAATTCCATTTTGAGGGGGTGAGGCTGTGGATGGTTGCGAAATCCTCTTAGGCACCACCTAAGAAACCCTGGTTTCTAATGATTCCCTTATAAATACCAACAAACAATTGTTTCCCCCATGGTTTCAAAGTGGTGCGAATTGGATTTCGTCCATCCACAGTACCATAGGTGGGAGGGGGGGGTGGGGTTTTCCTTGAATTGCACTTCTCTTGTCTTCCCCTGGAACCATAAATGGAAATCCAGCCATTTTTAAGGGATGGGGATCCCACATTGAATTCAAACTCATGCTTCGCCAGATTTGTCGAAAATGAACATGCGGGCATTAGATAGAACTTAGGCAGCTGCCAGGTGTTTTATTGGGGACCCCCGCATTGAATTCACACACCAGGTGATGTTGCAGCGACCCTTTCTGATTTGCTTTAACATTTCCCCAAATGAAGCCATCAACAGTTTGAGGGTTTTTGATGATCTTTCGGGCACTTGCTTGAATGTTTTTGAACCCCCTGGTATGAACCTCGGGTTCTCAGGTCAGTCCATCAGTAGTCCTGACTGAATTCCCGACACTTGCCACCATCACCGGCCTCAAACAGAGACTAGCACATGCATGGGCGTGTCTGGGAAGTTCCCTTCTCACGGTTGCGCGCCGAGAATACGGCTGGTTTCCTGCTACTCGCTAAACAACATGTTTGACGGGATTTTTCCGAGCTTGGCAACCCAATGGCATGAGCGGCATCAATCAAACGCTGGGCAAGTGTCTCACTCCGTCCACTTCCCCCACGTTGCCCTCATCCGTGTGCTCCGGCGCGAGGTAGGGCTCAGCACCGGCCGGGCAGCACATGGCGCGATCTCTTCTCCGATTCGTTTGGCTGGCTATGAAGTTCAATAGGGAACCGCCTCAACAGTGGTTGGTAGACATGAAATCCCCACCTAGATGATCAAAAAATCGTGCATTCAATTGTCCAATGTACATGGCATGATTCGTGGGTTCTCTGTTTCAGGTTGTTCTTTTCTTCGCTGGAGAATGCAGGAGGGTTTCTCCGCTTGAGATCTTCGCAAAACAGGACCGCAAGGTCGAGCTTTGTTTGCGCCAAACCTGGTTTTGGACCCATAAACCAAGAGATTGAATTGTAGGAAGGCTACAATTGGGCTTCCTTCGTGGCATCAAGGCATGCCGGGGACAAGGCTTTCTGCTGACTCTGTCCTAAAACGCGAAAGCCCTGCTGCAACCAGCATGGCCCATGGCGGCATCCAAAGTGACCTGATAGGTCTCATTCTAACAAATCTGAAGCTGACAGAAACGGGAAACTATCATTTGCCCCACCCTGGTTTACTCCAGAATTGTCGAAGGAAAACCATCTTTTCAACGATAACCAAAACTCAAGGAAAAAAACTCGTCAATAATTTGTAAAGGGAATGCAACTTGTACCTCAATCTCCAAAGCACGACTTTACGAGACTCGACCTTAGAACGTGTTATCAACCTTTAGTTGTGCACATGCCAACTAAGTCGCACGTGCACCAACGATAGCACAGCGCTGTGCTCCGTACAGATGCATTCTTCTGGTGGAGATCAGCGCAGTTCACCAAAGTATTTGCGGGCAGTCGGAGAATTTCAAAACCACACACAACACCCAACAGCCCGCTCAGGATGTTGTACAGCTGCCAAGTGAATTTCAAGCGCACGGAACTTTAGATCGATCCACCCCTGCTTCCTCTTTCGCACTATTACTTGGGGCCAAGTCAACCTGGTGGAACTTAGTTTCTACCCAAGTATTCAAATTCCGACTGTGCGGTACCGCTTTTACTGCATGGCGCAAAAGTGAGGCTGCTGGGTTCCTCTTTTGGACCTATTGAGAGGCCGACCACCACGACGTTTGATCATTAAAACACAAGGCAACAGGTAACCCCGAGTTTATTGCAGTGCAATTCATAGACAAAAAGGGGCCAGACCGCCAGAAAAGTGCTGCAGATTTGTAGTAAGTCTAAGGCTGGCAGTTTTGCCTGCCGCATACATGGCATGTGCAATCGCCAAGGACCTGGTTTGCTTTCAAGGCCAAATCATCGACATGCTTTAGAAAGGGTCGAAATGCTTTTGTAGTGAGTTTTAAAGGGGTCTACCGCATCCTCCCTCCCAAATGAGTTGAGAAAAGGAAAGGCTAAGCGCCAGAGGTTTTCGAAGCTGCGCATAGCTGCCTCCCTTTTCCGAGTGCGAGCTAGCAGCAGTGGCGGGCGGGCAAGCCATGAGAAAAGACGAAATCGCGTTCAGCAGCCGTGGGCAAGGAATCAGCCAATGGTTGGTGGGAATTTTGGCCAGCTTGGACCAACCAACCTGCATGTGTTCCTGTCAAACATTTTCTGGTTTGGAATGAGAGTGATCAAGGGGGACTATGGGAGGCTAGTCAGACTCTAGGCTTTCGTTTGCCATCTCTCTGTCACAACGCGTTGAAACCTGAAGACGTGTGTCTCAAAATTAAGGACTCCTTTGGTGGTGCGGGGCTCATTCAGGTTGGTTCCTCTTGGGGTTCTTTTCGGTTTCCCTGGGCACACAAACCCAAATCGGGCTTTGAGCCGAGGAAGGCCTCACAGCAACTTGGAGCTGGTCCCATCGCTGGCGGCCACTAGAGACCGAGACACCACCAGAGTCTTCGGCCCCGCGGCACCTGTCTGGCACCGGAACCCCGTCCGAAACCCCACAAATCCCCGCATGTGTCCGTCGGATTCAGTGGGACTGTGTCCCCACGGGAATGATCGATTCAAGGTGCTTGCTGGATTGCGGGCGCTGTGACATGCTTGGCATGGGGACTGGAGCTTCAGCGGGCTTATTGGCTACAGAAAAGAATTTCCGGTGGCATCATGCTCCAAAACCACGGAAGCAGCTACACTCAGGGCTTTAAGGAAAGACTGGGTTGTCCAAACCTAATCCGTATCTGAGGTGGGACTACGACAAGGGCGGTCACTAACATCTGGCAAATGCATGAGGGAATGGTTGTGGCAACCCAAGAAAAGGGCCCACGGCCCGCCAGCAGGTTGGATCAAGGCGCGTCCAGTGTAGTCGACAGGCGCAACAGCCAGGCTCATCTGCCTTCAGTGTAGCTTGTGGCTGTGCGAAAAATCGACTCTGTATCCACTCCCCTGCGGTATCCTGTTGGGAAAATTGACAAAATGTGTCTTAGTTGTTTGCAAATGGGGAGCCTGCCCAGACAACCAAGAGAGGCCCACCCGAAAGCGACACCCTGGTACTAGTGTCTGTGGATCATGTGGATAAACCATGATCTTGATTGTTTCTTCCTTTCTTCCTTTTTCCTTTCTTCCGGCTTCCTCGGGGAACACCCCTGATTAAGAAAAGAACACATGTGCCCGCGTTGCCCCAAGGGATGCCAACCTAATGGGGTTAGCGCCGGTTCTGTCCGAGCAGAGCGTGGGCCAAGGACTTGCTCCAGGTGCCACCGAACGAGCGCGTGGGGCAAGCACTTGTCGACCAACTAGAACAATTTATCGGCAAGTAGTAAGCTCGCGCTTTTGAGAACTTTTTGGTTAAAACCAGTTTGAATACCTAAGAAACGTTACAGAACTTATAGAAAGTGACGAAAAGTTACCAACAACAAAAGAGCACGTTTTTGCTAGCACGTACCCGCGTAACCGCGCAAAGAAGTTGATGTTCGGCTGCCAAAGCGGCTGCAAACAGAATGCAAAAATTGCTCAGTGTGAAGCATGTGTTGCAGAACCAGGACATGCAAAAACTAGAAAATAGTGAAGGACTTCCGGCTGGAGCTGTCTCAATTCGTGCTGATCAAAGCAAAGATTGACTTGCAGGAAGCGCTTTTGCTGCCTTGACTTGTGTCCAAGCCAAAAAAAACACACCCTGGGGTCTGGGAGCCGCAGCTAGCCAGAGTTGAAGCTTCCCCGCATGAATTTGCGCACGAACCAGCCGCTGCTGCTGGCGTCTTCAGACTGAATCATGCTTCGTAGCCGAGGCAAAGTGATTGAATGTCTTGGTGTAGTTTTCCGTCGCGTGGATCAAGAGATGCCGGGGGTGCTTTCTTTTCAGCCCACGAATTTTAAGGTGCGGCGTCAGCGCATGCAAACGGATTTGCCCTGCTTACTGGAGAGATGTGGGTGGCAACTTGCTAGACGTTGACTTGAGTGACTCGACGACCTCGGTCTTAGGAGAATGTGAATTTCATACAGGATCCTTGAGAGTTTTAACTTTGAGCGGCTTGAAGGCTTTGGCGACTTCACCTGGTGGTGCTATAGCCATTGCAAGGCTTTCCCGCACTTGGTCGGGTCCTGCAATGAACCTGAGAAGCTGCAGAAGCGCTCCAAAAACTCTCAAATTCTCAATCCACCAGTGATGCTAGCGCAGTTGCCCCATGGCCTCAGAGTGGCCTTTGGGGGCGGGATCATATACATGCCCGTGTTGGCTTTCCAACCGCAATCGTGCAAGAACTCAGGCTGAAGTGCACGATGGATCTCGAAACCTACCAGCTTTTGCCGACCACGATTTTTCCAGCCACATTCAGGAGGCCATCAATCACCAAGTCCGCCGGCGCAAACAATTCAAAAGCCACATTGTGTGCAAGCTGATCACGCGCCTTGTCACACTGCAAGCCTTCTGGAATCACCCTCCGGCCCAAACTCGCCGAAAATATTAACAAGTCAGGTTTGCGACTGTGCTGCCTTCCTGGTCCGAGGACAATGGAGTCAGACTCATCTCGCTCAGCATGTTCCTGCAAAACGGGTATCCACTTGGGCCGCTCTGTGGCAGCAATTTCCTGTAATAACAAGAAACAATCGAAAAGCTAGGAAGCACATGTGCGTCGGCAAGCCTCGCTCCCCGCGAGCTGCAAAGCGTGTAGCATGGCCAGGCCGGGCACTTCCTTGTCCTGAGAAAGAAATGTGGCTAAAATTGCACTCGAAACTGCTACATCTTAAGTTCACAAGCAGCACGGTCCTCGTGGCGCTGATCAGCTAGCTCGTTCTCCAAGTCGGCGTAATCCCACGCTTGGTCGCGCATCGCCTTCTCGTACTTTCCCTCGATCACTTTCTGCTTGACCTTCCATCCCAGAACCAGCTTGTCCTCGCACGCAGTTTGACTCGTCAGCCGAAGCTTGCCGAAAGCGAGCCGATTGGAGATCATGACGCAGAGCTCTTCTGTCCGCCAATTGAACAAGGGCATGCCTTCGCAACTAAAAATGGACAGTTCTCACAGGTGCTGAATTTTCGCATCCTGCCGTGCAAAACAAACAGTCATCATTTGCGTGAAAATTTCAAGCTCTCAAGCAGTCAAGCTGTTTGGCGCTCGCAAGACCAATGCTTCCTTGCCTGCTCCGCAAAGCCACCAGCTCGGATTCCAGGCGAAACAAATATATAGCTCGCAACGGGGAACTTTCAAACTCTGCAAACCTCAACTATGAAAATGCGAAACTTTTTCTCTTCCGTCAGCGACTAAGTCAAAATATCTCAAAGGACGCCTGGGCTTGCAGCTCCAATGCCTGCAAGACCATGGCAGAAAGTGATGCAAGCGCGGATTCGCGCTATCCCTTTGCTTCATCAGCGCGCTTCGGCCAACCTCTGCAAATTAGAAAAGCGATTACGCACCTCTTCCACTGAAAGCCCCATCTGCTGGGCCTGGCCAAAAAATATCTGAAACTCACAACTTACGACTGGCCTTTGCTTCCTCCATCTGAGCCTTTAAAATGGCAATCTCCCAGTGAGGCCTGCCGAGCGAAACTGACAAAGTCAACCTCTCAAGGCGGCTGCGCGCTTCGTAAAGCCTTTTTTGGGATTAGGAGGCTTCGATTTCGACGCTGCCTCAAACTTATTCTGCGCCGGCCCCAGGTCGCACTTGCAGTCCTTGGCTGCTTGCTGCCAAGCCGCCAAGTCTTGTCCGTCACGCAGCCTTCAAATTTCCAGCCGTAGCTAGCCGCGCAGACCCGCTCTTGGTGCCAAGTCAGCCGCCAAAACATAGCGGCCCCGCGTATGCTTTGAGCAAAAATACTCAAACTCTCAACAGTTCTCTCGCGACATCGCCGCAGCCGAGGCCAAAACTCTCGGCGATGATTTTGTATCAAACTCTCAGCAAACTGCTGCGCAAACATTTCGGGTTTCCAACGAACAAGTTTACGCAGCGATAAACGAACAACGACAAGGACAAAAGAAGAACAGGTTGTACAAAGTTAGCAAAACTTAGCGCAAAGGTTCCACTCACTTAACTTGACATACGCAAACTTTGGACAAGCATGTCAAACTTATATGTAGACATCATAACTTCCTAACCTTTTCGAACATAACTTTAAAACTCATAAGTCCACTAAGCGTTTGTTCGCTACCGCATCAGCCAGCAGCATGCTCAAGGCCACGCGCGAAGTCGGATTGACATGTTTGGCGCCTGTGGGCTTGCAGTCTAGTTGGGCCACGCAAATCTCTGACACCCAGATTGTTCGAATTGAAGCATCTTGGCACTTTGCTTTTGAAGGGGAAGCCCCTGCAAAAAGCGAACAACATAGAAGTGGGTGTCTCGCCCCCAGTCCCCCGAATCCCCCGAATCCGCCTCAAGATCTGCAGCTCGAGGCCGACAGGTTGGCGCGCTGGCCAGGCGTGGAAGCTGAGCGCCAATGCCACCGCCTCCTGAGGCACCCAAGACCCTTCTGAGCTGTCCTCAGATCCCCCGCTAAATGTGACTGACTTTTAGTGGGCTAAATGGAAAACCCCACTAAACACTAAAAAACTAAAATGCTAAGGGGATGGCTGGGAGCCACTAAGGCTTGTGGTCTGGGAAACCGAGTCCACAAAAAATGCGTTTTTGAGTTGGTAGGTGTAATTTACAGGGAAGCCCAGTCCAAAACAAAACAATACAGCACCCGTCTGGTAGGCGACGGTGAGACATAAGGGAAACCCCGCTCAAAGAGGTAGATGATACTGAAGTGTGAATGAATATAGGGAAATGTTAGGCTCCGCACGCAGAGCCGCCAAACAGGAAACCATTGACATGTCGAATGTTTCCATCCCTGATGTTTCAGGAAAGGCCAGCTGCACAAGTTGACATGTACCTCCCGGGATTTCTTCCTGGATCCCTCGTGGCTGCTTGCTTCAGATTCCCCCCTGCGCTGACCAGCCACATGTCTGGCTTTTGTAGCTCGTGGCAACACATGCGCTGGTGGTCGAGAAACTGGGAAAGTGTGTGGCAAGTCAACTTGGGCCAACGGCTCCAGCAATTCGTGGCTGGTTGTGGTGGCTCCTTGATTTTGACGAGCCCCTTGCCGTTGCCAAGTTGTGATGGGAAGTGCAGGTACCTCCGAATTTGGCCTTAGCAACTGGAGATTCGATCTCCCTCACAGCTACTCATACCACCCCTCTCCAATCCTCGCTATTCAATGAAAGGCATGCTTTTCAGAAGGAACCCCACCAGGCCCGCCTGTCTCTCTGCTGGAGTTTGTGCTTTGGAGCTGTCTGACTCTCGCCATGTTCACTCCTCAATGTACTTGGTATTTGCCAGTCCTGTTGACCGTTATTTCTGGGCTGGAAAAAGCAAACAACATGAACACCATATTTGATTTCCCTTGAAATCAAGGTTCAGCTTCCCTCTGATTGGTGGTTTGGAGCCCGGCGGTTTGATGGTGTTCCGGCGTGGTCCCCCCCTCAGCTCCCCAAAGCCCGATTCTTTCTTTGGGCTCAGGCGGTCGCACATCACGGCCCCAGTTCGAGGTCTTGAGTTGGCTCTTCGTCGCGGCTGCTTGCTTTCCCATTTACCCTCAACAAGAAACGCGGGTTCAAATCCGAACCCACACCACTAATCCAAATCATCAATTCAGGGGAACCACTCCTTGTCAATGGGGTGATGGTTGGTCGGGAGATCTATCCAACGAGTTGCTGCACATTTTAGGGGAACCTGAAAGGCTTCAAGCTGCAATTGCCGCGTGGTTTCCTTTTCTGGGCTGTCCTCAGAACCAACTAAAACTCTCAGGAACCAGATGCCTGGGGACCACCAAGTTCTGGAGGTAACCCAAAATGGGCATGGAGGAAACCTTGAAACGAGGGCCCTCCGGCCCGTCTGGCAGCCTTAGCCCCGCTCATCGCCAGGATGGCTTGCCCAGGCTCGAAGCGCAGCACCTGCCATCGCGTATGCGCGCGCGTGTGCGCGAGGTCGGCCTGACGTACGCCCCAGCTGCGTGGATCTCGCGCCCCGAAGACGCCGAGCCGCGGAAGTCCGCCGCCAAGGTGCAGTTCAGGTTTCAAGTCCGCTAGCTGGAGCACCAGTGGACAAGGAAGATTGTTGGTGGGCATCTCCCCCCATACTATTTCTCAGAACCAGCAAGTGCTCAACCCTGGAGAATGGAAAGCTACGGCAAACAGGACAAGTCACCTTTTGCAATTGTTCTGCTCCAGCAGACGCTCTGCCCTACCCCTACTCGCCTCACAGATGGTCAATGCTCCTCAACTCAGTCCATCTTGGAGCTTTACCCAAGGTACAAGGCCTCGGCTTCTCAGCCATTGCTGCTTGCTCGTAGCAACGAGGGGCCCTTACTTGGCCAAACGCGTTTGTCTCAGCAAGCTCGAGGGACCTGACAAAACACCCTGTGCCTCAGAAAAACCAGCGAATTGGTTTTGACCGACTGTCACTCAACGCTGCCGATGGCTTTACAGTTTCCTGGCTGTTGGTGCACAACATTGCCCGCGCACGCAGTCGGCTGAGAACTTGGTGTGCTAGGCATACTTGTCCCTCACAAAGTTATTCTCCATACTCTGGATGGACGAAATCGGATTCGCACCACCCAAGAAGCCTTGGTTGAAACCATTGTTTGCTGGTACGTACGGGGGAATCAAACCATTCCACGGTTTCCGAACAGTGGTGCGAAATGGACTTCGTCCATCCACAGTATCTACCCTTCTTGTTGCAACTGCCTTTGCCCGCCAACATGGATGCTGACAAGCGGGAGGCCCCAAGAGATGAATGATCATCCAGGTTTTCTCAGATCTCATGTTGGGCAGGAGGGTAGGAAACCATACTCCTGGGTCGTTTTCGACCTTTTTGCTGTAACTGTAACTTATTCGAATATGCATCCATGGCCCGTGCAGATTCTTTCCTGAAATACCCTGAGCAAGGCGCTTAGCGTGCAGCAAGAGGCCACAGCCCAGAGCCCAGTGAGAAGCCAAATGCTCGCTAACAGCTTTGTCGGGGAAGGATCCAGGGTCACGAGAAGCGCCTCAAGCTCGAGTTTCTTGTGCCTGCCTACTGAATCGATGAACTTGAAGCTTTGGATACGTTTCTCCCGGGCCAAGTGCTTGACGACTTGGCCACCGGCAACTGACCTCTGACTTGGTGGTAGGAACTGAAGAAACTGTTTGTCTGGTGCGGGGGCTCGCCTTGGGGAGCCGTTCACTCAGAAAACCACCAACAACTTGCAACATGCAAACAGGACTCCAGACAAAGTGACATGTGACATGCGCCAACACGCAAGCTGGCTGCAACACACAGGAACACCAAAAGGTAGACAGCGCGACCCGTGCAAGTGGAGCTCTTGCTTCGGCTTGCCGGTGGGAAAACAGCTGTGAAGTTGCGCGCTTTCTGTGGTGTGGAAGATTTTCATGTGACAAAAAGAGATGAGTGGGTGTGTGACAAGGCAAGACACGGCGCCAGGAAACGGGGCACCTCCGTTGTGACGCAGGCTGTGTCAAAACGATGCCCTCACCGACTTCGGCTCGCCGAACAAATCAAAGCCGCCTCGGCGGAATTCCAGGCTGCAGCGACGGCCTCGGTGAGCTTCTACCGCCCAAAAGCCAATTTGAAAAGGGCACATTTAACTCGAACGCAGGCACAATGGGAAGTCAGTATTGTTAAACCCCTGTTGGGCAAAACTCGGGGCGGGGTATCACCTTTTGGAGCGGACCCACGCCCCCGTAATGTCCAATGTCGATTAGTAAGCGGGAGCCCCCCCCCCCCTCAACGATGGGGGCATGGGGACTAGTATCTTGAGGTGAGTTTCCATTAGATTTAGTATTGGTAGACTTGAGTTTCCATTTGATTTAGTATTGCTGGAGCTTCCTTTGAGATTTGGAACTTTAGTATTGCTGGAGCTTCCTTTTGAGATTTGGAACTGAGTTTCCATTTGATTTAGTATTGGTAGACTTGAGTTTCCATTTGATTTAGTATTGCTGGAGCTTCCTTTTCAGATTTGGAACTGAGTTTGCATTTGACTTTGTTGTAAGGGCCCCTGGAATAAAGTCTTGGGCTTAAAATTTGGGGGCTTGAAGTACTACTCCCTTTGTGGGTTTGATGGTGGGCAGTTTTTAAACAAGAGACATGTAAGACAACTTGAGTTTGGGCAAGGTCTGCAGTTTGGATTTTGGGGAGAAAGCAACAAGCTTCACCAGCATCAGCATCAGCATCAGCTGGGATTGAAGTTGGCTAGGTTGTTAGCCAAGAGGTAACTGCATTTAGGAAGTTGCATTTTTCAGGGGGAACCATGCAGCAAGACTTTATTATAGCCCTGGAATAAAGTCTTGGGCTTAAAATTTTGGGGCTTGAAGTACTACCCCCTTTGTGGGTTTGATGGTGGGCAGTGTTTAAGCAAGAGACATGTAAGAAAACTTGAGTTTGGGCAAGGTCTGCAGTTTGGTTTTTTGGGAGAAAGCATGAAGCTTCACCAGCATCACCTGGGATTGAAGTTGGCTAGGTAGTTAGCCAAGAGGTAACTGCCCTGCATTTAGGAAGTTGCATTTTTCAGGGGGGACCATGCATCAAGACTTTATTATAGGGGCCCCTGGAATAAAGTCTTGGGCTTAAAATTTGGGGGCTTGAAGTACTACCCCCTTTGGTGGTTGAGGAAAGAAGCAGGTGCCAAGAGCAAGGTGCCAAAGATCCAAGGACCAGGGGTGGCTATCTCTCCTCTCCTTCCTGTCCTTTCTCTCTTTCTCTCTTCTTTGTTGTGCCTTTTTTGTGATTTATTTTTTGGGACATGTTTTTTTCATGGGCGGGGGGGGGGGGGCTTGTCTTTATTTCAGGTGCATTTGTTAATTATTTTGGGCCCCCCAGAAGTCTTTATAGAGCGTGCATTGTTTAATCCATTTGGACATTATACATTGTATATATATATATAGACATAGTTATTTATCAATTAAAATAATATGCATATATATATATATGTACATATATATATATATGCATAATTCCAAGATGAACCCACACACACACACACATGAGTTCTTTCTTTCTCCGATTGTGCTTCGTCTGCTGCGAGCTTTACAGCGCGTGGGTACAGTAAGAACAAACACCAAGTTCAACATGCTTTTGGAAACAAAATCCTCGTTCGCTCAACCGAGAAAAAAAAAAAAGGAAAAAAAAACTAGTAAAATGAGAAAAGGCACCAAGCTAAGCATCCTTCTGCAAACCACGCCCGCCAAATAAGACAAGAGAGAACCCCAGGAGGTTCTCCCCAACGCCGGGACCCGGCCTCCGCCTGAAAGTCGGGCGGGGCCTTGAAGACCAAGCGCACGCAGCGCGCGTCGCCGTCGCCGCCGGCCTGGTAGTACTGGACCCTCTCAAGCGAATTGCTCTAGCCCCCTGGAACAAACAGTAGTCAGAGATTCCCTTCCAAAAAACAACCACTGCGGAATAAAACAACAAATATCAACAAATATGTTCCTTGAACAGGGGAAATATAGACAAACATTCTTAAGCTCATGGAAGGAAGGGACGGTGTTTTTCCCAGGCCACGTGCCTCCAAGCGTTGAGCACGGGCCCGCATCCGCGCCCCGGCTGCGGCCGCTTTCCTCTTTCGAGCGCCAGGCGCAAGTGGGATTCACATCATGAAATCAACAAATGGCTGTGGGTCAAAATGAAACCACAAGGATATGGACCGCAGGTTAAATCGTTCAGGTTTCCATTTACCAGGGTTCCATTTTGGGTACCTATTTTTGACCCACAGCCAAATCATGTCCGAAAGGCACAAAGAAGCCAACCCCAAAAGGTCACAGCTGATCTTGGGACTTCTGTGGTACATTTCCCACATACGTTTCCCACATGCTTGCGCACCCTTCCGCCAAACTGGGGTTCAATGTGACCTGCTGATTTCCACTCAACTGGCAAAACATGATCCAGGCAAACCCCACGCGTCACATTCAATAGAGGGCAGACCATTGATCCAGGCGTAACCTCCTCATTCCTTCCAGGACCATCCTTTCCAGAAAGCCATCAACCCAGAGAGCCAGTCTCAACACCTTAATTATATATGCAACGGGATGTCAAGTCACCCCGTAGAACTAATAAACGAACGCGGAATTTCCGGCCCCTCACGGGGGAAGTGAAATGAATATTTGGGAAATCGACCCAAAGAACATGCAAACATAAATCAGGCTTCGGAACGTTGCTACAGGGGCACTGGGGAACCAACCCATGCCACTGAGTGGGGTATGCCAAAAATAATCAACCACCAAGTGATGATATTGAGACCATCCAAAAAGGAAACATAAGGACCCATGAGCAATATGAGCAATGGGTCCAAGGTGTTTAGAACTTCTTGGGCCTCTTCGAACCTTCTTGGCATGGCGGTGTCCTGCTGTCTCACCCCCCCGCCTGTCTCTTTCCTGCTGCTTTGACGCCTCCATCTTCGCGCGGCTGGCACGCTTTGCCATCCGCGGATTTGCAGGCGCCTGGGGATGAACGAGACGGACACCACCTGCTTGGTTCGTTGTTGTTTGCTTCTTGCTTTCGGCCTTTGTGGGGTTGTTTCTGCTTCCTTACTTGTGCGTGATGCTTGTTTTGCATTCTTTCTCTGGAAGCCCAAGTCCATTTCGTATTTGTTGCTCTGCTGCGTAGAAAACCTCCACCCGCCTTTTGCCGCACACGAAAGAGCGGGACACCACTGGCGCAACGCCACCGGTAAACCACGGCGCCTCATCGTCCGAGTCCAAGATCTCGAGGATCTCCGGGTCTGTCGCAGGCGCCGTTTTTAACCGCCGCTTGGCCGGCCTGGGCAGGGCTGGGCCGAAATCGGGTTCCAGCCACCAAAAACACAAAAAGGTGGGCATCCCAAAAACACACGCACACACACACACACACAGTGACCCAACTCCGCATTCGCTGGATTTTGCATTAAGCATCACCCTTACCAAGTGAAAAATCACAATTTTGCTGGCGGCCGTGGGGCCTGCTACGTGCCAACGACCTGTTGAAAGCTGCCTGTTGAGAAGGCAAGCTGGCAAGCGCGGGAATGGCTGGGGAAGTGGCGCTGGAATGGCTGGAGAAGCGCCCTGGTTGAAAATCGCAAGACACCCTCGTCACTTTCGAAAAGCCAACCACACACAAAAAAAAGGAAACAAAAAGGAGAAAGACGAAGAAACAAAAAGTCAAGGCGCTGGGATTGCTTCTTCGCCTGCTGCTTGGGCTTTTGCTTCGCGGCCTTGGCGCTCTTCGAGCCCTTCGTGCCCTTCGTGGAGCGGTTGGGCTTGAAGGGCGCTGAAACCACAGTGGAGGCTGCAGCCAAGCGGTTGGACGGATGGCTCAGTAGCTCGTACCTCATCAGGAAAGCCGGAGGCCGCGCTTCTGGCAGCTTGAAGAACAAAAGCCAAGCTGAATGCTCAGTTTCTCAATTCGGCGGATTCTGTGGGCTTGACCCGTTGCCAGGAAACAAAGCACAAACTCCCCGATCTACATGTTCAGAGTACCTAAACGCTTCAGACCCCCGAAACATGAATTCTGCAAGCAAACAATTCCGCCCGCATGTTTTTTTTGAGGGTGCAAGGCACTCCTTCTTGTGGTGGCCGTGACACCTGGGTGGCAAACTGAAGCCTCGGCAACTGTTGCCGTATCAAGACAGTCAGGCCTCTAACTACGTACTCTGAGCAAACAAGTGTTTTCCCACACAGAAGTGGCTAGGTGGGAGGGAACGCCCAATGAAACCCATGTAACCTCACAAGGCCGGACAACACCAATCACTACCAAGCCTCACCCCAAGTGGCCTCGAATGAATAGCGTCTTGTTACGAGCTAGCGGTGCTGGGGCTCATTCAAAACACCGCAAATCACCACATCTCGCCCTTGCTGGTTAGAATCGCGCGATAGAAACGCATGCGGCATTCTGCCAGTGGATGATGTGGAAGTACCATCATTCTAAATGGACTGGCACCTATGGCTGTGTTGCCAAACAGGGGACGCTAAACAACTGATTCCTTTCGATTTCCCTCAAGCTACACACCCATGTAGGGGGAACCGCGTTTTGTTTCGGGCTTTTGCGCACCCAGGCGGAACCCACCACCTAAGTGAGTCACCTCTTTAGCAGAAGCCACAAGGACCTGCGCCATGAGGAATTCCACCATGAGGTTGATCCAATTTGGCGTGCACACCTCCCCTGTAATTCATGTCCGCTAAAGGGTCCCGGGACTTTCAGGAGGATGGTACTCTTCCAACCCCCCCTGTCCACTTCCATGATTGCTGAAAGGGAGCAAAACCAAACTGAATGTCAGACCTATTTGGTGAACCCCATAAAATGAGTGGCTGGCTTCTCGCTTGCCTTCCTTTACAGAATCACTAGGCTATGAATTCTAATAAAAACTAATGAACGAAACAAACTGAAAAAGTGGTTGCTGGACATAAATCGTCACATAAATGATGTCCACCCCGAATTAAAAAGTCATAGCCACTTCATCATGGCCAGTTTCGGGACGCCCACAAAACGCACGGCCAGCGGCTGCCGCCCCGCCGCCCCCCCCACGCCAAGGCCAAGCGGCGCCGCCTTGATGCGCTGGAAGCGAGCGGTGGCCAGGTGCGCCGGCACAGAGCGGTCCTTCGGGTTGAATACCAACCGTTGGGTTAATACCAACCGCTTTTTTAAATAAATAAATATATATATATATATAACGAGGTCCTCCAGTAGAGAGGTTAGAATAAGGGTACCCTTTTTCCTGTAGTCTATTTTAGTAGGGGAACCCTCCCCCAAAAAAGGGTAAAAGGGCGCTGCTGGGGGACTGAGTTAACATGATGGGACAAGTGGCTTCCCTTTCATTCCTTTGGGGCCAGGGCCTGAGACAAGTAGCGTTGAAGTAGCCCCCTTTTGGTTTGTTTCCCTTCAGTTCAGCCTGTTTGCTGAAGCAAATTGCGCCTAGTAGGCTGCGTCCTTGTCCGGGTGATACTTCCGGCACAGGCCGTGGTAGGCGCGCTTCACCTGGGCAAGGGAATTCCGCTTTGGGGAGTCTCAGCTTCCCGATCCCAACCAAAAACAAAGATGTTCGATTCCGGCACATCTTTAGTAACTGTTTGAAATCAACAATTGGTCAATCAGATCCCAGTAAACTCCGTGCCAGCCTGGTGTGGAAATTAAGGGTTCCGCAGTTCCCGAAACTTTATACCACTTCTCTAAACATTTCAAAAGGAGATTCACCGGAAACAAGCTTTGCCGGACCACTAAAAGGCCTTCCCAATCACGACTTCTTCCAATTAAAAAGAAGAAAATGTCTGGGATAACCGGCATTAAACAATAAAAACATAAAATAACAAATCCACAACCCTGTGTGAAATTGGTCTACAACTATGTTCCCCCGCAAAAGTGTATTTGCGGTGGAATGGGATCGACCATCTTCCTGCCAAACCGAAGGCTTCAGTGAGCGAGGCAGAGATTGGGTGACCCTCAACTAAATGGGCGGCAACGAATACAGTAGTTCTTAGGATGCCACACACATGATCGTCATTTGTGCAAGCGGAACTCGGCTCTTCATCACTTGAGGAGCGGGTGAACGAAAGCTAGCAGTTGTTGCATGAGATGGGTCGGTGACAGAGTGGATTCATAGGTAGCTTGTGTACAACGAGAGGCCCGGCAAGATTCGTAGGATGCGACACGCAAACGCACATGGTGGCATGGCAAACCTTGAAAAATGAAAGCAACGAGAGGCGTCAGAAGCTGTCTTAAAGCAATTCTGGGTTCTGCATGCAGCGTGTGCAAAGATTCTTGCGAGGTGGTTTACCGAGAAGACTGACGTCTCAAATGAACAAGCTGAATCGGTGGAACATGTAAAAGTTCGTAGCACCAAGTCCAAAACGGGCAAGCCGAGACTGCTGAACACTGAGCCACTGCCCGGGGACAGAGGGGGGATGGACCAGGAAGGAATCGAGCCTGAGACCCGGGGGGGGGAGGGGGGGGGGGTCTAAATAATTGATGTTTTTCAATCTTTTCGGCTCAAATAATTGAAAAAATCAATCTTTCGGCATTTGAGCCCCTTACCTTGCTTACGCAAGGAGAAACTTCAGCTAGCTAAAGCTAGCTTTCGTGAAAAGCCAAGGTCACACGTTGGCTCCTTCTGGACAGGTCTGACTGTTGGATGATACTGTTGGATGATTTTGTTGCCGCCATTTATCTCGAGCATCATCTCCATCAGATTGCCAAACGTTTACGCAGGATTCTTGAATTACTTGTGACAGCACCACTCAAGCGGACATCCCCGATTTATCAACCAGGGGGTTTCCCATCCAGGATGAACAGCACGGCAGGTACACCCCGCCTGGTCTGAAGAGGCCGCCCGCTTCAGGCCCAGCACGGCAAAGGGGTCCTTGCAAAGCCGCCCGTCAAAGGGCTCAAGAGTGCGTGCATATGTATGTATGTACATATGTATGTATACATATATATATATATATGCCAATTTACATGCATGCATGTACATGTGTATGTTCAAAACGACCTATCTACATGGACATGTAAATGCATGTTGCATGTCTGTCGCCTGCCTGCCTGCCTGTCCGTCTCTCAGTCAGACAGTCAGTCTCTCTGTCTTTCTGTCTGTCTGCATGCGTAGATGTATGTATGTATGTCAGTGAGTGTGTGCGTAAGGTATGTGTTCAAGTGCATTGTTATGGGACAACCAACCTACTTGCCTATGCTCAGTCGCAGCATGTAGATAAACACATAGATATTTACAGTCAGGGTCATGCCCATCAAAAGGCAACCTTGGGAATGCAAACTAGCGACCCAAACCAACGACAGTCTGTGACCACGGGACTACACAAGGGCGGATTCAATGCAAGAGCTGGCTGCTAAAGCAGTGGGGCCCCAACCCTCTCAAGAACCCAGCCAATCAAGGTCCTTGTTGGCCTTATGTTGCCTTTTTCGGCCTTTGTACCGCTTGTAGCCCGGAAAACTGGGAAGCACATGAGCAAACTCGCAAAGAATGTCCTGTTTCCACTAGCCAGCTAGTGGACTTTCCCCTCAACACCAACCTAACCTGTTGCTGCCATACAAAATGTCTCTGGCTTCCCCGAACAACCGGCATAGAAGTCCACAGGGCCTGTTGAGCTCAGTAAACTTCCATGTTTGTTGGGAAGGTTCGAAGGTGCTGGTCCTGCCCGTTGCCTGTGCAGCTACTAGAACAATTCCACGACTCATCAATGCAGCAATCACAACACATGCCAATCCAACTGCAATGTCCTGTGGCTGCGTGCGACGTTTCTTCATGCTTGGAGACCTTCAGCTGATAGTTCAACAGCACGGGCATCCGTTGCCGAAGGGCCGAAGGGTTGCTCACAAGGGAAACTGAATCAACATTGGCAACTGAGAGGCGTGTGTTCATTTTATTGAAGTTTTGACCAAAATACCAACCCAAGGTCCAAAAACGGAGTGCACATTCAGATGCAGTTCAGTTGGCAAATGAACTAATTTATGGGGAAAACAAGAACGCCCCCAGAACCTGCATGGGTCGTTCAAAACTGTGTCCGTTTGGTAAAACAGAGGTAAATGAAGGGTAAAAAGCCAATCTACCAGCCAAACTGACGTAAAAAGACAATGGGGTCGAGTTTCCCTCGTTCGGGGTCGCTTTTACCCAGTCTCCCTTGCTCGGGTTCTCAGAGCACCCCTAGCCATTCTCCTGCACGCGGCCCAGGAAGTTCCGAAGCACCATGCCATACGGCCGGGGTAACAGACAAAACTCCACCTGGCCCTTTTAGGCCCCAAGAGATAAGGAATGTAGTAGGATACCGATAAGCTGAAAGCTGCAACATTGTAGGTCGATCCCAAATACATGGGTGATCTTGGGGAGGCTTGACGCCGCCTGGCTGTTGATGGAGTTGATGTTGGAAAGCTTGCATGCACTTCAACTAAGGATCCATACTTACACCCAAAACATCAAACCAACTTGAGCCAAGAACCTGCAAGCGTCAACATTGAGCTGAACTGGGAACCCACGAAATTCAAATAACATGTCAAGACCTGCAGCAACGAGAATCGCAAAATGCGCTCAGCGCATGGTGAGCCAGCTAATCAGTTTTGGTTTTACTCTCCTTGTCAGCTTCTCCCCATGTGATCTTGGTCGCGCAGGCGGCCAGCTGGGAACTTCTCCATGAGCTGCATGAATGCGGCCTTCGCCTCGTTCCACCTTTGCCCCTTCTGTCTCCGCCGATCCCACCATGGCTGTCGTGCGCGTCGGGTTTGTGCCACGCGGCTAGCGATGCTCATGGAGTAGTTGCGAGACCACAGATGCGGCCAGCTTGGGCTTGCGGTGCATACCTCGGCAGGACATCCCGCATGACATGAGAAGGTGAGCGCCGCGGAGGGGACGCCTCAACCACCAGGGAAGAAGTAGCGTAGGGAACCCTGGATGAACCCGTGGCTGATTCGTGCGCAGCACCGTTTAAGAGGAAGTCCAGTTCACATGTTCCTTTTCTATCGGAACACCTCGAGGATTATCCGCCAGCTTCATGGACCGGGCGAGTTATGAGGTGTGTTGGTCTGTGCGGGAGACCCTCTTCTAACAATACGTCGTGGGTCGACATGTTTTCCAGGCATTTGGCAGCACTAAGCAACTTGAAATTTGGGCTGGGACCATTCCCCAGCACACCTTAACTACAAACAAAAAACACTTGGTGTACCCCCCTAACTATAGCGTTTATTGCCCCATCCACTTTGTGGACGGACTAGCCAAACAGAAGCTCTGAACCATTTCCCGAAAGCATCGTGAAGGCTTCTTCCGGCAAAATCGCCTGCCAACTCGGCAGAAGCACACTTGCACGAGCACACTTGCACGAGCAAACTCCACACTTGCACGAGCAAACTGCACACTTGCAAAGTTGCAGGAGAAAAAATGCACGATAAAAATTGCGCGAGCAAACCTTGCTGCAACTTGAGCGGTGTTCGATCCGAACCAAGGCGCTGAGCACACCTTTGTTGTTCAAGCCCCGTGGTCGGTGCTGCTCGTCGCTCACAGAGCGGTCGATGGGGATATCCGCGAACTGCCACAGGGCGATGCCTCCAGGCACCGAGAGGACCAGTTGCAGCAATGGCTCCAGTATATATGAAACACGTGTTTGGAGCGCGCGTGTATAGTATACACATACACCCATTAGTATGCATATATATATATATATATACATTTCTACATGGAGTGGCAAAAAGCCATGGCCGTTCTAATGCTTTTGGCGGCTAATTTCCCATAGTTCAGCCGAGAAGCGGTTGGCTGACGCATGAAGTAGGGGTTCACACCAGGGTTCATGGACATACACATTCACCATGGGTCCTTCGGACTGCACGCAAAAAGTCAGGCGTTTACTGGTTGAAAGCGAACTTGAAGTAGAAGAGCAAACAGCCACGGGGGAGCTATGCCCGGCAATGTTTGCAGGTAAAGTTCTGGTATGGGCCATGGCAAGCACAGGCCAACATCTCGCCAAGAAGTGTATATAAAGGAATCATCCTGCAAGGGGGTTTTCAACATGGAGCTCAAGATCATGGCATGTGCGTGCAATGAACACGAAAGACGCATAAAAATCTGGGCACGCTACAGCTTGTGTTTGGCAATCGCCGCTCCTTTGAAGGCTGAAAGTTGCCCGTCAAAAGTTGATCCTCGCCTGCGATCTGGGGGTTGTGGATTGCAGCTTCCAGGTGGCTGCGCAAGACTCGAGCTTGGTATTCCTCAGGCAGGGCGCGAGGGCTCTGTTTTGCGCATGAATCTCCATATTCTATACTATACGAGTCTAAACTTGGCAATGCAAATGTCTCGCAATACACCCCCCCCACCCAAACTGGTAGGAGACTGCGTGGCCAAAACCGTTTTCTGCCAACCTGCTAAGGATTAATATTGTCGATGTTCGAGCAGTAATTCAAGCATGATTTCGTGAAACAGCCCGGGAGCACTTGGCCGGACTAGTGACGTGGAGCTACCAGAACATCCCCCTCATTTTTCTCTCCCTTCTATGACATGGCTGCAGCATAGAACTGCTGTGCTGAGGCCTTGGATGTCTTCGACTCAAGCATCCCGCCCCCCCCACGTAAATTGTCTGGAGGGAAAACGGGTTGGTGTCAGGGGAACCCTTAAATGCCTTAAACGAGTTTCCTTGAGGCTTTCTTGAACCGTTGGTAACCGCAGGATTCCGAGGAAAACCCCGGGCAGGCACCGTCAATTTTCCCTTGTCCCGTCCATGTGCCTCGCTCCACTTGCCGTCTGTGTGGTGGCCAAAGAGCCCGCCAGCCCCAGCTTCCTGAGCCGGCAACTCACACATCAGGGTTTCAGTGGGTGTCTGTGGGGCATCTGGGCGCCAAGCTTGGCTGGTAGTTGATGCTGTGAGGGAAACCTCTCCGAAAAAAGGGGAAACATATTTTTTTGGGGTACTTCAAGTGTGGGGCCAACCTTTCCTCATGGAAGTGCATGCGTGTCCATGCTTGGCGGGGTGGAGGCAAGCAGGGAAGCCAAAGGGTCCATGAGGGAGCCCACGGGGCAGTTCAAGTATGTCAAAACACCAATTGTTTACACAGCCGCCGTGCTGCTCGCTCTGGGCAAACTTACTTGGCGTTCCTCCCATTTACCAAACGCGTGATCAACAAGGGAAACCTCAACGAAAATGCGCTGCGCTATTTGGATCGGCTCATGTACAGGCAGAAGTAATCACAAAGTGCATGTGTACATGCGTCGGTTTGCTTGCTAGCTTCTTTGGCCACATGAGCCACCAGCTACACGCAACATGCATCATGTTAGGCAGCATCTATGTACTCAACTCCATGCTAACCGCTGACATTGCACGCACTGTTGACCCAAAAACATTCAGAACTGCTTCCGGAATTTGGGAATGGGACACCCCTTATTAATCAACCAGGGGTTGATGTCCCGGGTCAAACAGTTGTTTTCGATCCGTGGCTATCAGCTTTAAACCGGGAATCCTTTGAGGCGCTGCTGGATGCACCGCAAAAAAGCAGCCAGAATCCTAAGCCTACCACTCCCGAAACCTAGCTCAATCGAGCAGCATCCAAACCCTATTTGACCTTGTTCTACCAAACTACTTCAACAGGTTGATAGTCTACATTTATGCGCGCACTCTGACTCTTACAACTCATTTGCTGTGATGCGGACCTATACGCATCAGATATCTGTCAAACAATTTTTCAAGTACACTAGTTGTCGATTACAATTCTCCGAAGCTAATCAAGTCCATTAAATATATTTCCCAAAACACAGCTGAATCATTTTCAGATTTTTGGTCAAGTATTGTGTGCGTTACCCAATCGAGATTAAAAACTGACAAAGTAATGGACAAATATCCAAATGAAATGTGTCTCAATTATATTCCAGAGCCTGCGCGTCCCATATCAAGGGTGCTCCACAAACAATATGTTATTTTGCCAACCCTAAGATTCTAAGATACAAACTAATTTTGAGAGTGTCCGCAGTAGAAAATCAAGGAACCGAACCTCCAGTGACCAACGCTCTCTCGGCGCTTGGGGCGTAGGGGCAGTGATAAGCATTGGCTTCTCGCCAGCTTGCAGCGACCACTGCCGGACTTGGTCCCAAATACCGGGGATGCCTTCCACGTCCTGCCGCGAAAAAGCGCTCTCAGCGGGAAGCGCTGGAACCCCTGGTTTGTGCGGGTGGTTGGCCCAAACCTGATGAACCACCCCAAATCCCCGGCAGAGTAGGTCCACATCGATTGCCATTGGGACCACGTCAGGTTGTGATTCACAAATCTCAGTGCTGTGCCCAGCGAGGAAAGTGGCAACAAGTAACAATGGTGTCTTCGTAAGCTTGCGATGAAGCAGCAAATTGTTCTTTCCAAGGGTGATTGTTGCCGAGGATCCCTTCCAAATGGGATAGGCTCACAGTCCTCCGTGGAGGCAGGTACCCTACCACCAATTAACATGGAAGCCGACGTTCGGGGGGTCCTTGTTTGGACCATTTTCCTTTTAAAGAAAAAAGGGTCCCTCTCAGGTTCCAGATTAGTCCTCCCTCAACTCTTTGCTTGTCCTCAGCATCTGCTGGCTGCGTTGTTGGGTACCAGGCTAAGTAGAGGTGGAAAGCATAGACATCCACGGCATTCAGCTGCTGATCCTGCGCCGCGGAATGCATCTTCTAACCAGTGGATTGGCTTGAACAAGTTTGAACTTTCTGTTTACCACTAACATGGTCTTCCCAAAAAGTTTGAGGTAGTGAGTCTTCAAATATCAAGTGATTCTTGATGGATGAGTTCTTGGGGAGTGCAAACCGAGTTGTTGTTGCCCCCGCGTGTTGAAACTGGCTATATGCGAAGAGGAATGCCCCAACAACAAGACACAAGTCGAACGGTGGAGGCTAGGCTGATCATCTGGACCCCATGAGCAAAACACAAAAGCCAATCCGACAGCGCACTTCTTACAGCTAGCAAAGTGGCAACTGGCAGCTGGCAGGGGCCAGCCAGACTCGGAGCTAAGCCTTAAGCTGCTTAAAGGTTTTCTCCAAACAGCCTGGAAGGGCAGAAAGTTGGTTGCCAAGTTTCTACCCTTTGGTCATCTTCAGACTCGGAGTGCCCCAAGCTTCCCCCGAGGTCCTGTCCAGCATGGTTGGAGCCATACCCGATCAGTCGTGTGTTTCCAGTATGCCTCCCACACAGACAAAACTGTCGAGCAGAAAGCGACCGTCTGTGGTGGAGTTCCTTGAGTCAACTGAATCAAACATATTGTTCAGAACATGGATGTTCCAAAAGTGGCACGCCAAAACGGCAAACTCAAAACTGTGACCCTTTCGGTTTGTAGCTGCAGCAAGTCGAAGCAACTGGCTGGGACCACTATTTGAGAAGAACCCATATGAGATGGGGCTCCAGGCTTGGCAAGCAACACGGCGACAGGCCAACATAGAGCTTCTGTCTGTTCTTCTCAGCAGAAGGCCAGCATAATCCGACAGGTTTTGAGGCAATGCAATGCTAACGAGAAATATCCGAGCTGGTGAAGGCGCCGTTGTTGCAAAAGGGGAACTTGTACCGTGGTTCGCCACCAACCAGCTTTGTAAAACAGTACGCGCACTGCGAAGGCCACAGGGAAATGATGAAAGCCCCCAGTGTAAACTGTCGAAGCAGTGCGCACTATGGTTCGAAAGCTCGGATATGCGATTGCCATCAATATATAGAGGAAAATGGTTGCAATGTAAGAGGATCGCTGGATCCAGGTCACAACCCCAAGATTTGTACGTTTGAAGGTCTCTTTTTGAGGGTACCAGGTTTTCATTGTTTTCTTTTGTTGACCCACAATTTTGGGGGTCCCCAAAAGCGGACGGACCCATAATAAACAAAATAAAACGGAATGTATGCCAAAATACTTAGCAACTGTGCGGTGAGGCATGGTGCTTCCCCTCTGGTAGCTGTTGCAACTTCTTAAAAACCCTCCAATCAAAAGACATTTGACTCCTAGAGGGCTCCTGAAAAAATACACCCTGACCACTTCAACATCACCTTTAAGCAAAAGGACACCACCATTTTGGGGATAATGTTCAAGCAAGATCATGTAAGAAACCCCTCCAACCAAAGTACAAGCAGCTCTTCTTCAACCGGCATCAACCGTTCACCCCCCCTCCAGCCAAAGACCGAAGCATGCCAACTGCTTTGCTTGCAAGCCTCCCTGTCAGCCATGTGTCTGGCCCAAACGTCCAGCCTCATGATCAACCCAGACCAGCCCTCACACATCAACTAGCACCTCCCACCTGCCCAAAGGGCCTGCAAATAGTACAAGGTCAACCTTTTGGAACCTTGACTAAAAATAGACCAGGGAAAAAATCCAACGGTCAAAAGGTTGGCTTTGAGAAGCAAGACCTTAAAAGGGGCCTCAAAAAAAGTAAAAATGCCCCTTCATTGGTTGAGTGTTTACGTCCTTTTGGAAGAACCGCCCGGACAAGTAATTGGCCACTGGGTAGCTTCAAACATGGCTTTAACGTTATGAAAGGTCAACAAGTTCTACCAGCAAGTAGGGAACCTGAAGAAAAGTGCTCAAACGACATGTGCTTAAACATGCTCAAATCACTTTCCAAAAACGGGCATGCATTCAAGGTTCCACTTTTGGCTTGCAATGGCTTGAATCGAAACAAGGATCACAAACGGCTAGACGCACAAGTCAAGTCGATAGGAAAAAAACAGGGCACCCTCTTTCATGAAGAACCCACGCCTAATCAACTGGCTGATTCATAGTGCGGCCTCCCATGTGAGAGGATCCACCCACCAGGTTCTACTTGCCGTCCAGGCGCAGCTTCCAATGCACCAGGCTTAGGTAAGGGAAAGCATGCGGACGCTCAAAAAGCCAAACATGAACATAGAAGTAAGTGTTTGTGTCACAGCCCTTGTTTCGCTGCAAGGGAGAACCCCGAAGCCTAGCTTTCAGTTACTGGAACAACTTGTAAAGTCCACAGGTAGCAACTGTGAGAGAGCACGCCTGCGGAGGTGTTGCGCCATGGCGTGGTAGGCCACAGTCGTGGCCTCGCTTTGGTCGAAGGATTCACCCTCGTTGAAGAAACCCAGCAAGATCACCTGGGCTAAAGAGCAGTATGCTTGTTACTGGGTACTAAGTACAGGGCACGATCTTAAACATGATATACCAACACTCATCACTAATCCATTTGCCCAGCGATTGGTAAAGAAACAAAACCTTATTGGGCCTGACCATGACTAGTGCCCAAAGGGAAAATGTTGCTGCCATTCGACCCTGGCAAGGTAGAAACATGATCCCTGGAGGAAAACCAAAGGAAAGCGGTTACCAATCTTCGACTCTTGTGGCATCTTGAGGCTGGAAGCAGCTGTGTCAGTGGGTGAAGTTGCAGGTGCTCATGGTTCCATTTCATTACATACCATGGATGGACAAGCACAATTTCGCACCACTTTGAAGCCATGGTTGAAACCATGATTTGGTATTCACAGGGATACATCATTCCGGGGTTTCTTAGGTGGTGCAGGATTTCGTCCACCCACGCCCCTGAGAACCGCTTGAAAGCACAGCTAGGGATCCGGCCGAGGGATGATTGCCGGAAGCCAGCGCCAGCTCAGTCGCCATGCCTCAAGCCGTGAGTTGCCCGTTGGCCCCTTGGCTCAGGCACGCGTCTCAAGAGCTGCGGCACAGGGCCACCTTTGTGCGGCTGCTTTCTAATTGGTTCCTTCGATTTTGGGACACAGAGCTCAGATGCAAATATTGAGAAGTGCCACTTGTGCTTTGCTCGTCGTGTTAGCAAGAAGGTAAATTCAGATTCCAAGATGTTCCGAGAAGAAGCACACCGTGCAATTGTGTCTTGTCGCCTTTTGTGTTGGGAAGGAACACCAAGATTGCCCGGGCAACTGGGCCTGGCTTCTCTGAAGCCACGGAAGCCAACGATCGAGGTTGAGAAGACGCAAACCACTGGGAAACCGGGGTCACGATAGGTCACGCTTACTTGTCCCATGTCTCAATTGCCAAGAGATAAAGCGAGGAGTGCTCTTCGGCCATGGAAATCACTAGACATGAGCCACACGTGGTCAGCCTGCACATGAACTCCAACGCCGCTGAAAGGCTTTCAAGGGGTTCGAAGAAACCATGAGCCCATCCCAAGAAGTTGATCTGCAAATATTGAGCAGGCCATACGTCATACCGCTCGGTGGAGAACAAGGTGCCCTTGTCCTTCTGTTTCATCCGGAAAAAACAAAGCGTGGATGTTATTTGCATGTGAGTAGCGCCAAACGGCAAGGCATAATAACATAAGGAACTCGATTGGCAGGAGATGAAAGGCAGAACTGTGAAACTTCCTAAGGCAAAATTCAACCTGACAGCGCCTCGTAAGCTCTCAAAGCGAAACTGGAACTAGCATTCGCTTGAAGATTGGGGGACCTACCTCCTTGGGCCCACATCTGGGGAACACAGGAAAATCATATGTTCAGATTAAACTATTCCGTGGCATATTTGGAGGAGACCCCAGCCTCAGTTAGACAGATACATGCTATTCGTAGTGGTCGCCATGTCAGCCCGATAGTTAGGAGTCTCCCTGGATGAAAGACAACCCCCTGAAACAAGGGAATGGTGAACATCGATCTGTCCGGGCTCGGGCGTGCCCGAGCTTCGCAGTGGCTTCCATGAAGAAAAAACGAACAACTCCCGCCGGCACAGGTGCGCATACTCTGCGCCATGAAGAGCGTGTTCTCGAAGTCCGAGGCCGTGTTCTGCCAGCCCAGAACCTATGCAGCCCCAAGGGCGGGGGCCAAGAAGATGAGGCTTAGGCGAAACAAAAAAGGCACAAGGAACCTCAAGAGCCCATAGAAACCCACACAGGTTTCGCAGGGGTGCCCCCTCCCTCCCCTGCGAGGTCCCCCAAAAAGAAGTTTCGTTGTTTTTGCTTTGCCTTTGGTCAATCTGCACGGCCGGACCAAAGGAAACCGCTGGGTCAGCAGTCAGCAGTCAACAACTCGGCAGCTGAACAGCCCAACCCAAACCACAAGCCCCAAGATGCCACTAGCTGGGCTGCAAAATGAGTAATGCCAGAGCAGAGAACAGGAGCCAACAGATCAGATCGATGTTTGTGACTGAAGTTCGCCGGAACCACAAGCAAACCCAAAGCTAAGTTGACATGAACAACCACCTACTCGTCTAGACAACCAGAAGCAACCTGAGAACAAACTACCACAACCATCAACCGATACAACACCGAAAATATGGACAAAGCGACTGGAAAGTATATCGCAAGGAAGCAAACCAAAAGACAAACACACAAACAAACAACCCGCACACCCCATGTCCAAGCCGGCTTGAGGGGTCAAAGAAGCACCCAGCACGCCTTATGTCCCCCAAGCCGACAGGTATGCAAAAAGCCGCGGCTGGCCGCTCCACAAGGCGAACCTTGAACCGAGCCGAGGAACCTCCTCCCAAACCAGCAGCCCGTAGACGTCGCAAAGGTCCAAGAATCGTTGGTCCTGGAACCGGCGGTTCCATGGACCTTCCGCACCCCGAAAAGGAAGACTTGGTCTCATGTGCAGAGACCAGCTGGAGGAGCTTTCGGTTCTTAGCCTGGGGGAGTGTATGCTGTTCAGCCACCAACCTAAGAGCTGCAAACTTGAAACCCGATCCGCTTCATCTGTGCAACCCGATCCGCTTCATCTGTGCAGATCCCCTGAAGCTGGGCCTAAAGCCTTGCTCACTATTCTGAAGGTGAAGGGGTGGGGATGTCCCCAATTCCATCTACTAGTATCTTCCCTAGTTTTCACGAAAAGGGAAAATGGACCTATCAACATTCCAAGTCCATTTTCAATCGGGTTGCCCAGTTGCCCAAAGGACCCAGGAATAAAAGAACGGTTACTTGTTGGAACCTTGACTAAAAATTAGTCTACCAGAAACAAAAAGGCCGTTTCGTGTTGGACAAGGATGGGATCCAAGTCCTGAGCATAGTGCGCACCGCGGACAAAGTTGGCGCCCAACTCTTTGAGGATCTCCTCGGGCAGCTGGCCCCAGTTTGCCCCGTTCAACACTTAACTTGGCCAACATCCGGGCCACAGCCAAAATGATGTTTGGCTAAAAACCCGCCCAAAACTCGCCCAAGGGACAAGACCCATGCAAGATGAACCTCTTGCGGAGAAAACTTTACCATCCCTTCCCTTTCTCTTGGCCAACATTTGGGGAACACAGAGTGATATGCTCTGATTCTGCCGCATATTCAGCCTACCCTATATATATATATATATATATGCGTGTGTGTGTGTGTGTGTGTGTGTTTGCGGGAGACTCCAGTTGAGTGGTAGCATTTAAGGGCAACAACTCGATTGTCTGACTTTGATAGGTTCCGAAAACAGTCAACACAACAACCCTGGTGCAAGCAGCTTCCGAAGCTGTCCAAACCCTTGGAAGATCGGCAACAACACCCACGGATACATGTGAATGGTGCGTTCACCCCCTCCCCTTCTACCAAAACAGACGAGATGACTCAGAACCCAAAACACAGTAAGCCGTGTGTGCGTGGTGTGTATGTGTGTGTGTGTGTTGCGTGTTGTGCTGTGCTGTGTTAGGAATCATTGCACGCAACGGGAGTGCAAAAAGGGGGTCTCACTTCACAGACTTTTGTCAACTGCCACTCTGGGATCTTGAAGGTGTATGTCCCCCAAGTCCGCCAGGATTTTTTTGTCAAATCCGTCCTTCGTTTTTTCCCCAGGCGTATCCCAAAGCCCCGGAAGGTGGAGCTTCTGGGCCCGGGAACTACACGAAGCGTCAGGCTGCCTTTCCCTGATCAACTGGGTAAGTGAAACCAGGGGCCCCAAAGAAAGACAAGCCCAGATTTTAGGAACCGCTGCGAGCCGTTTCGAGCCAGGGCACGACGTCGGCCACCAGCTCATCATAGGTCATCACCGGGGAGTCGATCATGTCGTGGCGGTTGAAGCCTCTCCGGTTCGATTCCGTCGAAACCTACTGGGATCCTGATTGCTTCCTGGAGCCCCAAAACGCTGCTTGGATTGGTCAAAAGGCTTCGCATGGCCAAATACGTGGGATCCTGATTCTTTGCCTTTGTTTTCAGACTTGTAAGCTTGTAGATCTAAGATCAAGTGGGCCACTCCCTCGCTGTTTTTTGTTGAGGAACGCATGGGAGGGTGACAAACATGAAGACATGGACAAGAGGAGTCAGCAATGCAGCCAGCTCGAAGCAAAACAATCCCCAAAAAGAAGCCAAACCCGCGGAAGCCACGGAACAAAGGGCACACTGTTTGTGGTACTTGGTTAAGAAGGGAGAAAACAGGCAAACCATAAAATGCCCCATTGATGCCCTGGAGCATGTTTCCGGAAGGAGTTGCTTACCCAAAAGCCGGCTTGACTTTCCAATAAGCCCAGGTGGCATCACAACCCCGTAAGTCGATAACTTAGCCACTGCCAGCTATTCCGCAGCCTATTTGCCTATTTGGAAAATGTCAGGGTTCCCGATGTTTCCTCTTAAGACATCACCCCTACCAAAGGACGTTTATTTAGTAAGCCCCAAAACCAAACAATCAACAGGCAGGTGATCTTTCAAGCAAACCACAAAATTGGACCTCTAAACACCCCGCGCGCAAATCCCCAGCCCCCCCCCTTCCCCGCCCCCTTCCCCACCCCCAGAATTTCCGTTTCGCGGTGTCGTTCCGCGGGCCGGCCTAAGAGCTTCACGGGTTTCTGGTTGAGCAAGATCTGGTGGCCCTGGGCTTCCACTCGGCGCAGGCCGAAGCGCACGCAGATGCAGTCGAGCACCTCGCTCCGAATGGGTCGATGGCTGGCTCATGTATTGGAAAGTCAGAGTCTCAGAGCTGTGGTGGCACAGTTGCAATCAATTTGTAGATTTTCATATAATTTATATATATATATATAAACAGCGACCAATCCCGCATGCGAGTGACCCTTTTGATCATGTTCGGAATCGGCCAAGTGGATCCACCGAAACCACTCCCTTCCGACCGAGTGGATGGGCCAACAAAAGCTTATAACCAAAATGAGCCAAAATGGCCCAAACCCGAAAAGTATAGAGTCCAGGAACTCAGAGAGTGAGAACAGGGGAAGCTACATTAGGAAAGCTTTGTTACACATAGCTGAGCATCATGAACCCTTCTACATTCTCATGAATGGCCCGTGGGAGCCTCTTTGAAGAACTTGAGAAGCAGCTTAAGCCCATGGGTGAAGACCTTGCCGCTGGTTCACATCCGCAAGGGGCAAAGGCCTCCCACGTCCACTTCCGTTGGAAAATGTGTGGCTGGAAGTGGCCATGGGATACCATCTCCAAGACTTTTCAAGGGTGGCTGAAGACCCCTTCGATAGCGAAATGGGCCCAGTGGATTTAGCGGCACGTCTCACAACAAAGGCCTCATGGCTCATTGCCCTGAGGTTGGGCCGTAAAAGTCTGATCTGCATCACAATCCACGGGCTTTTTGAAAAGTTCCAGGGGGGGTGCCCCCGGAAAGAAATCCCCAAGAAATTTGGGGTCTGACGTTCAGGGGCTCCTCCCGGTCAAACTGTTGTTCCCAATCACCAGCGCTTAGTAAAGACGGTTAGCCCATCTTTACCGGAAATGGTTGAACAAGTTGCGCAGATCGGAAGTGGACTCTCCCCCGGTTCCTCCGTGTCTCTCACCAATTGACCATAGACATGCAAAGGCCACTGGACATTTGGACCTAAAAGGCCTGGAAAATTTAATTCTAGGCGTTTGGACCCTTCATTTTCACTAGAAAGCCAAAGGTCAAGAAGTCGGCTTTAACCAAGTCTACACTACCAATTAATATGGAACGAAACACAAGCCGCCATTTTGAGAGGACGCCCATTTTGGGGTACCCCCTGTTTGGGTTCGTGAATCGAGTAAAGCTTTCGAACCAAATAGCATACAAGAGGATCTCAAACCTTTCTCCTTCTCAGAAATGAAGCAATTCAACCCCTGTTAAAACCTTCCAGTTACCACTGTAGGTAATCAGGTATGGCTACCTCAAGGTTTTATATCATTGTTTCCCCTGGTCTACTAGACTGGTAACTGGGAGCCCTGGGCATAGTTCACGCCACTGTTTCAGGCAACCCGAAATGGTGGTGCGGATCGGTGGTTTGGGGATTTAAAATTCGGGAATCATAGGCAGACATGTAGGCGCAAAACGCCGGTCCTGGGCAACCAAAGGCGTGCTGAGAACCCCCACAGGCCCTTCCGTTTGTTGTGGCTTGTGGCCTGAGGGAATTGAGTCAAGGGAATTGAGGGAAGCTGCCTGTTGAAACAAGCTCCTTTACTGCTTCCCTGTACACCAATGCGATCGGATGCCTCATGCTTCGTCTGGCTGACTCCAAAAGGGACGTGTTGCTGTAAGAAATGGGTATGAGTAATACTGCCTGAAAATACCTTCTTTCTCCTTTGGCTTCTCTTTAACTTTATGACCAACCTACCCGCCCGCCCCCTCAAAAAAAAACACAACTAAAACCGACAAACAAACTGGACACCACCTCATATTCACTTGAAAGCACCCAGTGAAGCGGTGTCCGTAAAACGGCCCCCAAATGTCCGCCGGCCTGGGTGTCCCGCAGCATGGCAACGCTGAGTCTCCGGAGCGAAGGGCTGCTGGGGGACCACGGCTCCGCATCCTCGGTTCGGAGACTCGTGCTGGCTTGAGGCGCAGGGAAAATGCCCATACCGCCCCCAACAAAAAATTGGAAAACACCTGTGGGTA